AAAGTAGTGCCAACAGGGCATTTTCAAGAGGTACAGCATAGTGATAGCAGTGTAGTCTGAGTCGGTCACAAGTCAATTACAAGTCAAATCACAAGTTCACTCACAACTTAAGCAACAGGCGATAAGTGTTGATAAAGGAAAGTCACTACCACAGTTTATCTGAATAGCTTCTGACTTTGAAACTTGCAACTATGCTACTGGTGATGGACTTATGATGGACTAAACTTCAAGCAAAACACTGCTTGCTCGCCGAGTAAAGACTAAAGCGTAACACAGACCTTTCCGCAGCCTCGTCCCATGAGGCAAGTATTCCTCATCTTTCTCATCTGGCTCTTTCTCTCCATCATCTTCTTCCTCTTCATCCTCTTCATCCTCGTCTGCTGATTCCACTGCATCACCCTTGTCATCGTCATCGCTTCCATCGCTGGCATTCTCTCCCATGTCCCCATCTTGCTCTCCTTGGGTTTCCACAGACTCGGGAGCATTGTCATCGATGGCAAAGACATCCAGCAACTGGGAGGGCAATAACAAAAGAGTTTCTGGCTTTAACACTATTAACGCCTGTTAGAAACCCTGCCAGACACATCCATCTGCATCGTCTTTCAAAGTGGCTTGCCTGCCCAGTGTTGTTACAGGTCAATTCAGCAGGTCAATTCAGATTCAGCAGGTCAATTCTCCCCGAGGTCAAACAGCCTCGGAGTCTGTAGCTGCCACGCACCACAAGATCCAAAAAGTGACATTGCTCAACAGGACTAGCTCCAAAGTCAAAGTGCATCAGATTTTTTTCACCTGATGCCTTTTTTCACCTTTTCACTGTGCTGCATCTGGCTGGGGTTATTAAGGTTGTAGCATCTGCACTAGTGACCAATCATAGTGCGCAGCTTTCATTTGAAAGGAAAGGAAAACAAGAAAAAGATTGGAGCCCTGACACACTGCTGACAATGAGAGAGTAGTCATGTTAGGGAGTCCGGCACTTTTCAGGTTTTTTTTGGTTGACCCCACAAATTTTGGGGCCGGACGTCGGAGCCCACAGTCTGATAGTCACAGTTCTGGGGGTAACGTAGGGGTAGACATCGCTTTCTATGGGACAGACTGGGTTTTAACAGTTCTGCAAGTGCAGGTAGCTTCTGTTATACATTACCTCTTGTCCTTGAGTCCATTCGGCGAACGGAATTTCACCATTTAGGTATCTCATGAACTCATCTTTGTCAATTTTTATTTCGCCGATAATTGTTAACCCGCTCGAACAGCCCTCCTCGTCCATGGTCACACGGACAGATTGATATGACGATCAAACTGATACCGACGCCACCCGAACCGTACCCGGAGCTCGCGGGAAACAGCGCCCTCAAGAGCAGAGCGATCGTGATAATACTACTGCAGAGAAATGTGATAATACAGCGGGTGTGTTATCAGCCCACACGGCAGAGTATGCGCCACTAGCACTCGGCAGCGGCTTGAAATTACCGTAGTAGCTGCAGCGACTAATGTAGACTGATATTATTTCAAGTCGCAGTCAAAGCGATTCGGAAACACGGCTTTACCTTACAGTTTGCATAGGCCTACCTCCTGTGGACATCCATTTTTTGTTTCAAGCACATAAGAAACTGAAAGAGCAAACTTTAATTTTACTGACATATTTACGTTTTAACACTCTTTCAACATAGCTAGACCTTTGATCATGGTGATATCCCTTAATCCTAGAAGACTTGGGGTGGAGGGCCCCCTATAAAGTTTCTCTTATCATCATGTGGGTGGCTCTTACTCATATAATGCCGTGATCTAGACGCACCTCTCAATAAAGGGGAGTATTTCGGCAGTATTTGGTTATTGGGGTGAGGCAACATGTCTTCCCCTTTTTTGAGATCTGGGGCCAAATTTCATACCGCTGCCACACACTCACTGATGTACTTTTCTCTTAGCACTGAAAATGTCACAGGCCAAGCTATCATGATCTAAGTGTCACATTAACTGCAATTGGTTACTTAGTTTTCGCTCAACAAATCACTCTGCGTTTTTCTGCTTAACGTACCGATCTATGAAATTTGGTCCTTATCTTTTGAAATGATTGTTCCCCGCGGCGTCCCTTACTTTCAGATCCCATCGTGTGTGCCGTGGAGCAATCTTCCCTGTCATCGTTGTGCAGAACTAGAAATATCTATAGTACCTATCGAATTGAGGTTCAAGTGAAAAAGGTGTAGCATGTGTTCATTGTCTAGGCCTATTCCTTTACGTTCGTGACGGTTATACTGAAATTAGTCGCACCGCCAGAGAGAGAAGAAAAAAGGATAACCGTTGCGTTGCATTTTCAACAGTAAGAAAAGTTTAGCTTAGTCGTTTGATGATGATCATTACTACATCTAAAACACGTCGTAAAAATCCGGTCGGGTATTGTGAGAAATGACTTTAAAAGACGGATCGACTTTTTTCGTCTTTTGATGCCACCAAATTTGGATGTGCACTCACAATCCCAACGGTCACACCACACCGTAATGGATTTTTGATTAAACATCGGGGAAAATCAAGACACATAACATAGGCCTATTCATACAAAAAGCGGGTCGATGATAATCCGGAACTTTACTCCACGTTGTTTGCCAACGCATGTTGAGAATTTCTTCTATTTGTCTCCAGAGAACTATTGTTTCTGGTGATGGAACATTTCCGGATTTCGGCCTCGATCCTGGCCAAGGGATGCAGCCAGTTCGGGTGAATAGGCTGCTCATTATACGTCACTGTCGTGGTTTTCCTACAAGTCTGCTCTGCTAGAACTATGGCTGGCCGTCAGTACAAAAGGAAAAGAACAATTCAAAAAGTTTGAAAATCCCACGCAACTATCAGAAGAATAGGCGTACTGCTGCATAACTACAAGAAAATATAACCCTATTTAAACTGAATGGGACAAATGTTCATAGCGAAACTGAAGTAAAATCGAAAAGCATCCAAAAGGTGATATTTCGCATTAATATAGCTTCACGTAAATCAATTCGTTTTATGTGCAAATGACCTTTGCAAAAGTTCGTTCGCGGATGCGCAATTCGCAATTACGAACTGGCTTGTTGTTATGTTTAATTGTTTATATGAAATCAGATAACCCAGTGTACCAGATTTTATTCAATTTTAACTCGCAAGAGGCTAATTATTGGCATTTGTTTGGCGAGTACCATCGTGACCCGTCGACCAGCACAAAGAACGCCTCTCAATCCTTATCGCAAGGAATTCGAATCTCATGTTTTCCCCTTAAGCTAAAAAGGTTATTTCTACGAGTAAGCCTGCAGGCATACCAAGCAATCCACCAACTCTTTGCCAAAGTTCTTCTGATCCTAATCTCCTGCTGCTGACCTGATTGATTGGCCACTGCTCGTTATACTCAGCCCAGGATTTACTCCCTCTGTCTTCCCGTAATTTAAATGTTAGAAATTAATAAATACATTTCTTCTGTTTTCTCATTTACAGCCTCATTTGAAAGCGAATAGCCTGACATGCTTCAGGAACCCTTGGTTAGGAAAAATAACGTTCAGAAATTTTAGAATTGGTAAGATGTTTTGTTCAGTTACTTCTTAAAACTCTTAAAGCATATCAATTTATTTAATTAAAGGGAACTGAAAAATTAATTGACCTAAAACAGAAATATCTTGCCAAATATTTACCTATCACTTCTTAAAATCTAAAATGCACGAAAAACAGTGTAATTCAGTGCTCTCGTACGCAAATGACATTTAGGACTTATACTTTAAGGTAGTCTTTTGGTAAAGCCAAAATAAATATAGCACAAAATATCTCAAGGATTTTGTAATTTATAAGAAAACAAACATAAACCAAATCTGCTTTTTCGAAAAATTTTAATGTACAGATTACAATTTTACCTTTGGTGACAAGAACTGCATCAGGTCAAATCGACTGAATCTAGAGCCCATCGACTGCATGTAGGTAAATCTTTGCAACGTCGTACAATTCTTTTCCACGTAAGCACGGGAAGTGAAAACAAACGTGCAAGAACAAGGAGACCTTGGAACGACACTGATCAGAAGTGAAAGGTCGTTAACGAAATTCGTTTTTTACCCATCTCAAGGTTACTTTTCCAAGATATTACTTGAGTAGGACAAAGGGAAAATTCCGAAACGAGTGTTTCTGAGGGTGGTTTCAGTTAATAATAATTCTTCCAAAAATTATCGAACGTGATAGGACGCTCCCATGAGAAATCCCCATAGGAGGCCCGCGTGAGGTTTCCGGAAGCTTGCTGCGTGACCTTTTTTACTTTCAGGCTCTATTGCTTTTGTCACGTAGACAAGTTCGCAATCCTGTGTCAAACGTTGATTCAACTCCAAACAGATTACGGGGAGTTCATCTTCATAAACATTTTTCACACTCACAGTGACATTTCGCACCATTCGTGTGAACTGCGGAGAACTCCTGGCGGCTTCTCAAAGCTCTGAATGTTTGCCCTCACACGACAGCAAACTCTTTAGTGCATATTGGCCCACTTCACGGTGTTCAAGGTACATTATTAGGTTACCAGATGTCAAGGCGAGTCCCTGGAAATGGATATATCTTCTCCGAGGCATTTCAATGTGCCAGTGTGACAACAAAAACTTTCCAAACCAAGCTATAAACAACTTGAAATTCTATGGCAGAATTCTCGTGTGTGTAATAACGAGGTCTGATTTGTAGCACTGTGGAAGTTGTTCCCGCAGGAGGCCAATTTCGAAATGTAAATCAGACACGGATGCCACAGAAACAGTTGTCGATAATAAATAACCAAGTTCCGTTCAGTGCATTTTGCCTAGCTCTGCATGTAAAAAAAACGAATACTTCAGGGTGTCTTCAGAGAGAGAAGTATCATACATTCTGTGGAACTGGCGACGGTTAAAATAATCGTTACAAATCCTCTACACAGTTAGGCTAAGCCGATTAACCCACAACTGACAGGGTTTTAATTTGTTAATCGCGTGACCCACTTAGTTGGCCAACCTAGTAACCAAGTAATCGCATCCCCCCACACACACCTAAGGCTGGATACGCCAGTGATACAGCCTATGTCAACAACCATACCTCCGTGTATAAAACTGTCCGAAATCTGCTACTTTCCTGGCAGATATAATACTCTATTGAAAGTCCCTGACTAGTACATTCTGAGTACTAGTCAGGGAATTCATAGTTTCCGATATTTCATCCCAAAGTGGGCATTATAGCGTGACACCACTCAACGCTTGAGGGCGTCAACGGGTCCCAATTTCACACCATACCCAATTAGGCCTCGTCACGACCTATTTACGTGCTTCTTGAGTGAGGAGCGCGCGGGTTCAAGTTGTGGGCCGCCTTCTTGCAGGTGGTGTCCACATTGCTTCGGGCAGTCATTCATCGGGCTTGGAAGTGACGGTGACAAACGGTCTTCTCTGCGTAGCCGAAGCGATTCGCCGACTGCTCTTTCGGACCAAGAGGAGTGGAAATACTTGTGGAGAAAGATTCAAAATTGGAACTAAGATAGACCACAAGGCCTCATCTTGCTTGGAGTACAAACACTTGCAAAGCGATAAGTTCTCCCTACCTAGGCCTATTAACAGGTGAGTGATTGATTGTGTATGGTCACGTCACATTCTTCTGAAGCGGATCTAAATTGTAAGGCATAACAAACCAAGTTTTGTTATCTAATAGGAATATTTTATTCTAATCACTAGTCTCGTTGGTTGAGCTATTATTTATCATTATTCTTATCTCATTATTACCGATGTAATAGTTAGAAAATCAAAACATCACAGATTGAAGACAATCAAACAATACCTTTGAAGGGCTTTGTATGTTCTATAAAAAAATCGAGTAACCTGCGAGTTTGATGAATTCAGAAAGAATCCTAAACCATTATAAGATCAGTAACAGAAGCTTTTGGGAGTTATTAACCGTACCCTTTCGTCAGCTGAGAAGAAATATTTCGAGGAAATGGTTTTTATCTGAATCTTGTACGTCTGGGCTCGTTAGCTGCAGGTAACTGCTGCGAAGGCTCCCCTTGTAACTTGTCCATTTCAATTGCATTCCTCTGTGCTTGCCAAGTTGCAGATGTGTGGGTTTTGCGTGCATGGTTTTTAGGGAGTCATGCTTGGTCTTCACAGTGAGTCCACAAAGCTGATAACATTTAACCCCCATAAGATGGATGTCTGCACATTGCACATTGACAACAGAATTTCGGCCATTCCTGGTGATTGGAAACAGACTGCTCCTTTTTCTTGTGACAAGTTAATCGCGTCACATCCTGAGGATTTTTCCCCACAGTGGGCTGTTGAAAACAACCACCTATTTTATGCCCAGCACGTTATGTGGCAAACGGGGGACCCCCCTAACGTGATGCGCAATCTATATACCCTAATGCTATCGTGCCTACTTCATCCCTCTTGAAAATCTGAAAGGAATTTCAAACATTCCGTCTACACAAAAGAAGACACAATAGAGGGGGTCCCCCTTTGCCACATACCGTGCATCAAATGTCGTATTTATGAATCATTTTATGAGAGTGGATGAGTGTGGAATGTTCTTCTTGTTCGAGGACCGACATAGCTTTACTGCACCATTAAAATTACTGCTGTAGTTTATTACGTGCTGAAGCTTGTAGAACATGTTATGTTTTGTAAGGAGGAGCCTGGGAGGCAAGATTGATGCTGGGGGTTAGGCCCAATCCGCAGATAATCTGATCCGTTCCATTACAGGTTTAAGGTCTCTCTGCAGGGATACGTTTGCAGAGAGAAACATTACACAGGGGGTCACGCTGTCCAACATCCGTCTTTCTGAAGTCTAATTGGCCAAATGTTCCAGGAATAATGTCACGTTTATTCTTAGTGTGGAGGAGAGGGCAGAAGACATACAGTGTGAGCAACGAGGTTCACCGGGAACGGTATTCTACTTTGCAATACAAAAAGAGGTGTATGCCTCTCCAGGAACTTTAGGAAGAAGAAAACTCTCGAGCCAAATTTATGGGAAAAACATCGGCGAGATAGTGAAAGTGGTCAGGTTCAACAACCTAATAAATTCCTGTCAAATATATTAGAAAATGTACGCTGAATTTAATTCACGTGCAACCTGTAAATCATTTGATTGTGGCATGCAGTGCAAGTGTTCGGGGAGACTTTAACTTCACTTTCAACCGACGGGAACCCGCGCCCTTCACTGTGTTTCGTCTCCGTCAAAATGTTTAGAAATATGACAGAAACGACGTACGGTGCCCGGCGACATATGGTGACGGCTAACAATAACAAGGCCGGCGGGTCATGAGCAGGAATTTTACCGGTCAACCGCCTGCTAAAAACCGGTGGCCCCCGGACTTTGTTATTCTTACTGGAAAAATGATATGGAATTAAAACAAAAATTAGAAGAGTGAATTACTGAGAAACGTTGTGACTTGACACGAACAGAAAAGCTAAGATTCGATTCCCCGAACAGGGAAATAAAACTGAACGAAGTACGTGTGTGAATGCGAGCATTTTGAAGCCATGTGCGGGCATTTTGAAGCCATATGCGAGCATTTCACAACCGCCATGAATATGAGCAACTTGCACTGAGAAGTCAAAGTTAGTTCTGATTTGGGGAAAATGTGACCATCAGAGAGTTGTGTGAGCCACTGAGTAATGAGACACCAAACGAGCTCTCTGGCATGTATGCATGGCAATAAGTCAGAAAAATTCTCTCACACAATTCGCCCACATAGTGCTCGCTATGCCATCCTGCACTATTTTGTTAATTCAACCTTTCTGAATTATGTCAAAATTTGGAAATCGGTATAAGGTTTCTTCGATAAATGGAATTTTTCAACGTTTATGATTTAACGCAACAGCACGTTCTGTAGTGAGCGAGCTTCAACACTTAAACCTTTGGTAAGACTGTTTATCGGATGATTTCAAAAAGTCACATTCACCCTTCAAGGATTGAAAAGGAAAAACACAAAGAAACAAACTAACCCAAATGACCTGGACACTTTGTGCTTGTAAGTATTATATGGTGCTCTATACCCATGCAAATTCTGGCTAAAGAATATAAGATGAATGATGTTTGGGACTGTCGGCAGTGGCGTAGCCATGCTCTTCTCGGAGGGGGGGGTAACAGATCCCACAGGGGCACACCCTGCCGACTACGTAGACAGCCTAGGCTCTTCTTGTGGTGGAGGCAAGAGTTCCTACGGGGGAAGTTACCCCGGCTATGTAGCCAGGCTCTTCTCGGGGGGAGGGGGAGCAACAGCTCCCACAGGGGAAAGCAACTGCCCCCTAGGCTACATAGCTGATCTCCTTTCAGGATGGAGGGGGGGAAGAGGTCCCACAGGGGAGGTAGCTGGCCCCTCCTCCCTCCTTAGCTATGCCACGCGGCAGTTGAGCTGACTCCCGTCATTCTAGTCAAAAGCTCGAACTTAAAAGGAACTCCACATTGAATAGGAGATTCGTCGCAAAATGAACTAACCACGGGTCAAAGGGCACCACCGTTGATGTTTTTGTTTCTCTTGGATAAGCAAATGAAGGGAGTCTTAAACGTGCCGTGAATGATTGAAATGGTACGTGCCGCATGGCACGACGGTACAATCTGAAGCGAAAGTAAGTTGCATGGCACTTGGCAACGAATACCATTTCCAAGAAACAACCAATTTTACCAAAGCTTAATTAACATCCGATTAAATGCACATGCAATGGCATGGTAAGCGCACACTGTCGTCAGAGTTTCGATATTTTGTGAGTGACTTTAAATCTTTGCACATCCCAGTTCATCCGGTTTGTTTTGTTTGTTTTTATTGCATGAAAGCCATCTTTTATGTAAATGTTAATGTCACCAAGCGACACTTATTTTTTATAACTGTTACTTTTTAAAGTCTCTTTTATTTTGGACACATACCCGAAACAAACCAAAGCTTTTTTTAGCAGATTGACGTCATTTGCCGGTTTTAAAATGACGTTGAAGCACCATTTTTATATAGTCTTATTCTTCACTCATAAAGAGTGACACAGCTCTGAACGACAACATAGGCATGATCAAATATGTAGGGCTCGGATGAAACCGTAGCAAACACAGCAGGTACATGTCTTTCTGCCAGGCCACAAGTTAATGCTGTTGGCGGTAGGCTGGCCAGGTCGTCACATGTCTCTTCCAAAATCCACTGATTCAAACTCTGGCCAGGCAGCTGTGGAAAGGACAGATGTTCAGATTATTATCACAACTACCTATCTGATGGTCGGCTCATATACTTGGCGCGAAAGCTCAAATTTAAATGCGAACTCTTGTGGATTCTTCTGCCGAACTTGATGATAATTTGAAGATTTGGCTGAGGAGCAATGGTTAAGGTAGGCCTACCGCTTGCGTTAGCACCTTGTTGCAAATCTTTTTTTTTTTTTGTTTTTTTCTTTGAGTGAGGAAGGTCTTATTAAAAGAAATGAAACTTCCAGTAATCTAACTGATTTCGGTTCAGAGCCTCACCCATTCATTAAAGAGATTTCCCACATCCCTGCTAAACGAGAAACTCATTTGCGAGCCATAGGTTAACATTGATGCAGGTCGCGGTATCACGTGATATCAAATCACGCTTTAAAATAACGTATATTGCATTGTGATTCCACAAGTACCTCTGCAGCAATTAGCCCAACGACCGCTGATCCTAAACGTCAGACGAGTGGACGTTAAGTTTCTGTGCGTCGTCCAGGCTTGTTTGGACGAATATAATGACCGACTCATATTGTCACAGTCAAGTTGGTCTTCATTTTTATTGCAAGTCAACAATTTCTTATCGTTGCTTTTTTATGTCTCTGCTACTGACAGCTTGCATGCTCATGTGCTACAAAGTGCAGTTATCTTATGAAAATCATCGGTCCAAATTTCAGGTTTTTTTAAGAGGATTTTTTGCATTTCCCTTTTTGTAGTCAGTCCATGAGAAAAGGACATGATGCGAGGACTAGAAAGCATGCATCATGTTCAACGAAAATATGGACTCTCAAATCGGTAGAGTAGATGGCCCATACCTGTATGATTTCCACCACTTCACCATCAAGGTTCACGGTTAGTTTCAAGGGCTCCAAGTCCACGAGAGGCTCGCATACTCGCGTGCCGATCGCCTGTCTCTTCCGGCGCGAGTACATCTCCCGTCCCGGCACGGTTATCCGGCCCCGCGTTGCCAGGGACTTTCTGAAGTCCCTTTCGCTCAGGAACAAGTCGGGAAAGTTTCTTAGTATCTGGCTCTGCTGCTGTCGGGTAAGAGTCACCACTGACCGCTGATGTTTTCGGCTGTAGGCCAGTAGCGGGTTGAGCTTGATCTGTTGGATCAACCCTTGGTGGCTTCTTATTTGCTCTACTTGGTCGGCATTCATTGGGTCGATGGATCGAACATTGCACGTCGGGCAGCAGCTCGGGGAGGCGGCGCCAGCAAGCAAGAGCAAGTAGACAGCAAGTAGGCCTACTTGCAGCATGAAACAGCTTCCCATGTTCGTCAACATCCAAACAATTCCCTAGCGCGGGGCTACAGCGATTAAAACCCTAATACTTGGCATCCAACACACGGTTTGATGCACTTCAAATTGACCGTATGGGTCCCCATGCATTCCATTTGCTAGGGCGGCCGACATGGCGTACTGGTTAAGTGCTCGAACCGTGTGGACACAACAATAGGCTTCATGTTTTCAGCTGAATGGAACGAGAATATGTACAAGTATATGTCTCTATTGTGGAAATTATGACCTTGGTTTGTTGGAGTTTTATATTTTAATGAGACAGGAGTGCACTGCATTTTTGAAGCGGCAATACCGTGCTGGTCTATTTTAGCTTCGCTGACTGACGTCCAGGTATTAGACTTTTAGACTTTACATATTGAATTTCACAATTTGTGTTTTGGGACACAATGAGCCATATAAGAAGTGATAAATGACTACGCTCTGCTTTATGTTTAATGCGTCCCTCACCACCAAATTGCAAGTGCAATCAACATTCTGTTAGCCGATACGAATATTCTGATCAACATGTAGGCCTATACTCCGTGCTTGTGTGTTTTGTTGTAATGATCTTTCCCCTTTTTAGTATCCAAAGATTTGTGAGAATAACAACGCTAAATTTCCAACAAGGAAGCTTTTTTATTCCATTTGATTGATTTCTCAGTGCTAAATAGTCAACCCAAATCCCAGCGTCACGGGTATCTTTCTACAATAGGTATATGCTCCTCGGTAAGGTTCGTGGAGGCAGCCATGCGCAGTTGGCGTGTTGTCCTAACTCCTCCCTTGACGTCAGCCCTCACACGTTATCGGCGTCACTGCTGAGTGGCAGAAGTGTCTTTGTTTGCTCTCTGCCCACGCGGCTTTTAGCCGTCGTCTTCATATTTTTCTCTTCGGTTTAACATGCAAGAATGATTGTTTCCCCTACACCCTTTATGGCTGCATTTCCAGAGGGGTAGTAGCATAAACATATACACAATAGAATGAACAGGTAGTTCCCCTAATCAGGTCATGGGCACATAGGCCACAACTGCTTTGGTAGGTTAAATTAGCAATTTCACAAACATTTGTAAAGCAATTTTCATATGCATTAATGTCGCAGGTTGAAAATTTGTATCGATTAAGTTGTGATTCAGATGATGGAAATTGCGGTATGGAACGGAATCGTTTTTGCCCGAGTCTTGACCGTTGATTTTCAAGAATTCAATCGATTAATCTTACTAGTGTGGGCGGCAAAAGATCAATACACAAGTCCAATACATAGTTTGTATGCGTACTTTTAACAGTATCATTGTTTGGAAGAACAAACCACACGTACAGAAATTCAATTCGTGTGTGCTTTTAATCCAATAACAAAAAAGAGCACGTGTCGTTTAAGGATCCAAGAAATTAACTTTCTTAAAATCACTTTTTGTGTATCTCTACTCTTCTTCCATGAATTAAAACTGTTTGACATCTTTTCTGAGTTACGTGAACTGAACGGTGCACTTTTTCAAACATTAAAAATTGACCAAGCATTTCTGGACAAGTGAGGGCGCTTTTATCCAGCTGAGGAAGACATGATTCAGGTTGCATGTTTTCATGTTCAAATTGTGAACGCCAAAGTTGCTATCTGGGAACATTTCAGTGAAAAGGATTTTTGCTGGATTATTGCCATATACTTAAGTTAATACACAGCAATAAATTGCCAAAGAAAATGAAATCTGCCATAACAGTGGTTAAAAAAATCAGTGCAACATTGAGATTCAGTGCCTTGGATGGCATCATAGTTCTGCTCATGAATATGCAAATTTCGTTAGCATAAAACCAAAAAAGCATCAAAATATGGGGTAAATTGCAAAACAAAAATTTAAAATAAGGTTAATTGAAACCCAAAGATTTAATTTCAAGGGTTACAATATTTTGGCATCATTTATGGATATTCAATTCATTGCAGCCTCTTAACTATATGCATGTACATGTGTATCCTGGTTGATTTAACATCTACGAAAAGCACTCTATATTACATTTAAACCATAATCCATACAACCTTTGTACGAATTGTACAGAATAAATTTTATGCGTCATTCATCTTCGCATAATACCGGCGATTCGCAATAGTGCGCCTCCAAGAGTCGGCCCTTTTCAAACGCATATTGGGTCGACAGATTTCGTGCATTGTAATTGGCCAACACGTTGCAAACTCTGGGAGGGGCACTATCGTGAAACGCTCTCAGTTTGTGGCCGTTGGTATTAATTTTGTTACGTTTACTTGTTTTGGCGCGTGCAAAGTGTGACGGTCCTTGTATGCAGGTACTATATGCTGTGTGCTGTTTGCTCATATGCTTATTTATTTATTTGCTTATTTATTCACCAGCAATCTTGTTGACATCATGGGGGACAGGGTGGGGACGCCCTCACCCATGAAGGGAAACGCAGCTCTGCACGACAACATAAGCCAAATCGAAGATGTAAGGTTCAGTTGAAACGGAAATGAAAGCGGCGGGCACGTGTCTTTCTGCTAGGCCGCAAGTCAGCGTGGACGGCGGTGTACTGGCCGCGTTGTCACACGTCTCCTCCAAAATCCACTGATTCATGCCCTGACCTGGCATCTGAGAAAGAGAATTGACATCGGCCATAGCCAATGTTATTTTACAAATGCCTCTGCATTCAGTGATCAGGGGTTTTTAGCAGAAAGTTTATTTGCCACTGGATGCGCAACTGGGTCTCATGGCAAAGTACGGGTCACACGGCACCCCTCTGAACATTACTTTCAACGAGGCGTCTTTACAAAGAAATATACGAGGAGATAAAGGCACTGACCACTGTCTCACCACTGTCATACGGCCAGGACAGAAAACGTGCAGGTTCTTAAGAGCGAGTAAAGAATATTGGTAATAGTTGCACAGAGAAGAACCCTGTGTTAAAATGTGAAACCCTCTGGCAGTAAACTCGCTGCCAATTTATGTTTTGAGAAAGATAAGATATAATTATATGCAAACCGTACGTATGAAGCCAAACCATGTTGGTTGTGTTTGTATTGCGCATGCCCAATGTGTACTGGACTCGCGTTGCAGCCGTTCATCGCGGTATTCAGCGGTTACAGCATAATGGTTTGTAATGCATGGGGTGTGGGTTCGAATCCCGGGTCGAAATGGTGGGTAGGGGGGGTTTCTTTAAAGGAAAATAAATCCCAAATGTTATAAGAGTCTAATTTCACACTTGAAGTTTTAATGGTTGGTTGAGCATTTAGATGTCATGCATGGTGCATGGTTGTGAACCGTGGTTTGGCTTCATACGTTCCCGATTGTAAAGTATTACCTAGGCCTTACGCAACCTATATAACTGTAAGACAAAATACCTGGATTATTTCGACCACCTCTCCGTCGACCGTGGTAGCGAGGATCAAAGGATTCACCCGTGGTACCGGCTGACAAACCCGCGTTCCGATGGCCTGCCTCTTGCGGCGGTTGCGCATCTCTTCTCCCGGCACGGTTATTCTACCCCGCGTCACGTTGGACTTCTTGAAGTCGTCCACACTCATGAACAAGTGAGGGATGTTCCTCCTTATCTGAAACTGCTGCTGCAGTGTTAGATCGACAACCGACCGTTGATATGCCGGGTCGTAGACCAGCATCGGCTTGCTCTTGATCTGTTGGATCAACGCTTGGTTGCTTCGTATTTGTTGTATTTGGTCAACATTCAGAGGGGTGATGGCTTGTAAAGTACACGACGGGCAGCAATGATTCTGCGATGCGCTCCTGGTAGTTGAGAGATAGATTAGGATGATTGCAACCGTTGGCACACTATAGGCAGCCATACCTCTCATACCTCTCCAACTTCACTATTTGCAGCTGAACTAAATTGACAAAATGCTCTACTGATTTGTGGGAATTTATTACGCGCTGGCATAATATCGAAATCCCAACCTGGTTCATCTGACTCATGCGTTTATAAATGAAAGGTTATGGCTCGCTTCATTGCCCAACAAAGCCAAGTACAATTGGAAGCAGGCATATAGGGTAGGATGGTTCCCTGCCGCAAGGGAAATACAATGGCAGGTATAGCCCATCCCAGAAAATAGATTGTGATGGAAAACGTGGAGAGGATTTCCCCACGCATCTGTTTTAAGGTGCGGCACATACACACCTGTCAATTAGTTTTTGAACCCTCAACAGAAGCAAAGTTGTGCTAAATAGAGTAGTATGCAAAGAAATACCAAGAATAACCGAGACACATTTTGGGATGCTGATGCGTATGGGCAATCTGTAAAGGGAAGCGACTTAAATTCGAGGACACGAGGACTTCGGCCAGTTGCGGGATACTTTCAGAAACAGGAACAATTCCTCGTTGTTGGCGGCTTCCTGAATAAAAGATTCTTTAAATAGTTAGTATCATTCGGCTTGCAACCAGACTACTGGCTGATCTGTCCGACGAACAGACGACCGATGCCTGCACGTCCCAACCTTGACAGTGATTATTTTGGAAAAAAAAACAGAGGTCGAAGTACTAGACTTGTCAGGGCGCCCCCGACTCAACGCCTTCTTCAGGATTCTTTACATTGAAACACATTCATTGTTCATGCTGTGAGATTGGTTTGGTATTCAGTGAACAAGAAAACCATCACCAATGCCCGGTGTGCATGCATACTCGATTTTTCACTTGGGGTAATAACAACGCATTGCGTTGTTCTAGCTAAATGTTTTGTATGAAATCGTCTCATTGAAAAAAGGTTTGAGGCGAGGTTGAACTTGCGAAATAGAGTCCTTTGTGTACGTCACAACACAAAGATTGCAATGTATTCAGTTTTGATTTTGCACAAAAACGGTAGCACTGAACGATAAAAAGGTTCGTATTACCGTTCATATGCAATCAACCCGAAAACCAAAAAACGAATGAATATCTAGTCCATCCCCTTCGAATGTTATCGAGACGGATATGTTCGGTGCATGGGAATCTCTTGTAGATTTTTTGGATGAAACGACCCACCTTCCTTCTTTTTCATAAGCTTACATGTGTGTTACGAATAAGCAATTGCAAAATAATGACCGGGAGAGGAAGTTCTTTCAGTTATTCTTAAATTTTAATCTTATGGAGACATCAGTCACAAAATCCCCGCTGCTTAACTGAGGATCACGAGCACTTCGTCTACGAACTATCTTTATTTAGTACGGAAGCGTATTGGTGCCAACATGAAAAAAAATTTCATCTCGTTTAAACGACTTTAATATATTTTTAAGCGACTTAATTTCATACGACCTGTCATCTCGTTGAAACGAGATAGCTATGTCGTTTAACGACAGTGCTATAAATAGAAATGACGAGATAGCGATATCTCGTTTAAATGAGATAATAAGTCGTTTAAACGAGATAAAATAATTTGTTTCGCTTTGGCAGCAATACACTTCCGTAATTTAGTGACAGGTTAATTCACGTACAAAGTTATTGCTACTTCAGATAGCCAGTTTTCAACCAGCGTCACTTCCGATTGGAAAATAAACCCACTGCATTCTTTGACGTTTTCCCCAAAAAGAATTTAGACTGTCCTTGTAACTTCCTCTTTGTTTAAATTCAACGATTATTTCCTCCAATCTCCTCTGTGCTCTCATGGAACATCCTGACTGTAAAAAGTCTATAATGAATGCTCTAATTGTAAAAGTATAACGAAACTATAATGGATCAACCTGCTACACGTGAGCTCGTCTTGAGGGAGGGTCAGTGGGTAAAGTTTCACTGCATAACATAGAAAATCGAAGTTCTAAAGCTCGGTAAAAACGAAAATAAAAGCAACTCGCACATCTCTCTCTGCTAGACCGGAAGTCAGCGTGGACTGTGATCTGCTAGCCTTGTCATCACCCCCCTCGAAAAAAATCATCGATTCATGCCCTAGTTCGACATCTGACAAATGAAACTTGACAGTAGTGACAAAGCGGATACGTAATTCATTTATAGCAAGTGATTATCAAAGGTGTTTGGCCTTAATTGCGATCAATGACTGTGCACCTGAATCTCTTTCTTCCCTTCAGGACATATGAAGCACGCCTTGTGCAAATTTGTATTTGAAAATGATGTCATATCACATCAGAGCAAACATTTCCTTTCTACCCTGCCTGTTCACTGAAGAGGCAGGCGGTGTCATGGTCATTTGCGTTTCGTACAGCAAGAGCCGAGAACTGTTCAGAATTCTGGGAACTTGGGCGCAATTAATGTGCACAAATGGAATTCGGATGGTGCTGCACACTCTGTGACGTTAGATGAAATGTCTAGGTGTTGTTCTGTCACGTTCTCACGTTCAAAGGGCTAAAAAGCACGCTAACGTGGTAGGGAGATTCTTCCTACGGGTTGGTAATTAAAAGTAGTCAAAAAGGTTTATTGGCTTAAATAATGACAGAAAGAATCAAAACACTTTGCTTACTTCCTCGTGCATGTGCTTTCTCGTAGTGTTCAGTGGACCATGAGCTCCATGACTTTATTGGAAAGGACACAAGTAAACAAACAGAAATGTCATCTGAGTCAGTATACAGTCGACTCTCATCATAAAGAACACTGTTACAACAAAACACAACCCACCCCATCCCATCCAGTCCCATCCCATCCAGTCCCATCCCATCCCACCCAATCCCATCCCATTCCATCCAATCCCATCCCATATACATGTACGGTAACATTAAACTTAACACTACAATGCAAAATACATTAAGCACATTTTGTAAGGTTAGTTCTGGTATAAAACAAGCGATCACCTGTAGCTTAGTAGTGAAGCACGTTCAATCGGAGTTGACCATGTGACCCTCAATTAGCATAATTGAACAGGGATATACAATTTTGTATAGAGGCTTTAATCGTCTTATCAAGGAGGAGGTGGGTACCAAGGTCATCTGCGAGGATAACAAGGCTTGTAACGAAAGGTTACATTATAGAATGTATCATTATATGACAAGGGTCCTTCAGAATCGTTTTTAATTGATTCATAACCATCCGGCCTTGCTTGAGATCATAATACAACCCCAACGATCCCCTGAGTACTAGTGTGCAGAACAACAATTAACAGGTGCACGTAGGTGACCTTGACTTGCCGTAAAAAGTGAGCCATTTGTACCAGAGCGGACAGTGTTTTACGAGCGGTCGCTTACTGGTATATACTACTGAAAAATATGCGCCTTTTATAATGCTTTTGGGTGTGCATGAACTGTTCTTATGAACTTAACGTGCTGCCTGACAACTCTTGGTCAATCCGCTGAATCTTATTAAAAAGACCATCGTATTGTATACATGTCGATCAGACAGTTCTCTTTGACAAAGTAGTTCTTGTGGGTGTGCATTGGACGGGGAATTCGTTCCCTTTGGTTGCCCGCTCAGAATTAATTACTTAAACTTAGCGGGAGAGGTTGTCTGTACGGCCGACTCCCCCGGTTTCTTATTCTTTTTGAGGAGGAAGGGATGAGAGACCGTCGTGACGGTCTTTCCTGGTAGTGAAAAAGACGCGCGTCCTGGCGAAGGAACGTTACGATGGGCCCGGGCAGTCCTCGTGTAGTTCAGGGTAGAAAAGCGGAGACGTAAAATGGGGTGAACTTCTAGCTGGGGACACCGTGTGATGCTTACTCAATGCACAAAAGGCACTGAAAAACTAAGCTGCACTGCTGCAGCGTGTACAGGGAGGACAAACATCCTCATCCGCTGTGGTTGGGGGAGGATGTGTCCCCACACCCTCCCGTGGAGACACTCTGGTTAATGAGACCAGGGAGGAATGAAAATTATGAAATGAATAAGGGGCGTGATAGTACCAATCCTATGCCTTACCACCGGTCGTTGCTTAAGTATTAAACACGCTCTGCGGAGTTGAACCATTAGTTTTCTTGGGGTCGTTAGAGGGTATACAATCACACAGAGGTATTCAATCCAATCCGGGCTTGTTTGTGTTGATCGTACTTCTTGTGGGTGACAGAGCATGAATTTGGCCCTTCCGGTGATGAAAGGGGATCCATTTTGCTACAAACCAGAGACCGTGGTTGGCCCGGCAACAAAACTCAATATGAGACTGTCCTTTGTTCGGGTCTTGGCTAGCCGCGCTGTTACACACGGTATAGCGTTACCGTTGGCTGACCCTCGGTTGCCCCTCCAACTTGCGCGACTTTGATGATACGGTGGTGGAAAAAATTCTTCGAAGAAATCCAGTCACGATGGTAATTTTTGACAAAGTTGGAAACTGAATGTGTTCACGTGACCTACCACGTCATTCTTTGTAAGCCTTAAATCTGGGTTTCTTTTACTTTACAAGGCGAAATATGCACGTTTTGCTTCTTTTGCGCGCTTCACCATGCTATAATGCAGTCGTTTAGATTAGTGCTTGATTGGTATTTTGTGAGCACGGGGAAAACCAACCTTAAGTTTGAAACTAAAAAATTACTTCATTTTCAAGCAGAGCTATGCAGATATCATTTCGGCAGGTAACATGTACTTTATGATCACACGTTTAAAAGTCACTATCCTGACTTTGTTACTCGAAGTATGAATGGCCACAACACCAGGCAATGGTTCCTGTAGGCCCCCCTATTTTGTCTCTTCTAAGCACCATTTGTGGAGTTTCCTTACATCATTTCACATAAATGTCTCGGGAAAACGAGCAATGAAAGTTATGCCGTGTTTCAACATTGTTGGTCCTTCCGGTCCCCAGGAACATCTTGTTATTTTTCAAATATTGCGAATAAATATTTTGTAACTATATGTCCGAGCGTTGTACGCTTCAAACTACCTGGTATAACCTCACAAATCAGACCGAACCCAGCTTCCAGAATGCAACGCGGTCAAACACGTGTGGCGCTACGCACCTGATTTTTTCAACATTACTACTAGACAAGTTATATTTTTGCCTTTAGTGGCAGTTTGGTGTTACTTAAGTCGTTCGCCTATGCAATCAAAGGAGATCCAATTGTGGTGTTTACCAGTTAGCGCCTGTAACTTGTAAGTCTAAACGAACGTGAGAAACAAAAGCTGGTTCCCGACAACTCAAAAGAAATATTATGCAAGCTATGACGGAATGCTGGAAACAATGCACGCTGATTTGCTGTGAGTGACGGCTACCTGCAATGCAGCTGGTTGGTTTATATTACCAACGTACATGTACTGGTGCTGTGAACCTCGTATGCGCTGACGAAGGGGTCGACGACGCTTATAGCGACTTTAAGCCAGATTGCACTTAATTCATTTTATTTGGTGCCTGGGTTTAGTGGACATAGCACCTCCAGTATCGTAACCGGTCACAGGAAATGGCCGATAGATCGGGAAAGTGCAAAGAACAGAGCATTGCCATGGAAACCCTGGAGAGCGAATCGGGGTAAGCGGCTTAACTCTTGATTGTTTAATTCTTTAAACACGTCGATTTTGATTTCGTGTGTTTGCTGGTTAACCTGTCTGTATCTCCTCGCTTGTTGGATGAGTGGTTTGGTTTTTAGACGCTTATGTGGTTATTCTGTTTACTTTCGACTGTCCTACTTGCGAGTGAAGGAAGATTGATTAGTTGGCTAACTGGTTGTTTCTACCTCCACGATGGGCTGACCAACTGTGAGGAAGTGCTTGTCTGGTCCCTTTGTACCATTTGCTTGATCTATTGCTATTGTTTTGTTTTCATATTCAAGATGAAAATATCGATCCTCGAAATGTGAGACCAAAAGAAGTCATGAACTATTTGAAACGGTGAACCTGCTTATTTATGTTGCTATCCTCTGACACCTCAAAAAAGGGCAAATGTTGGAAGAAAAACGATGACACAAGGACATGCTGACTGGCAATGTCGCCTTAGCGACAGTTAACATTTTTTATGGACTGTCCACTCAGTTTTATTGCAAATAAAAACGAGGAAACGCAGACTCTTCGTTTTTATGACTTAAAGGACGAGTCACGTAATCACCGCTCAAAAATGTTTTCTTTTCGGCTGAAATATAGACGTCCTTGGGTGCGGGGGTTTGATTTGGCGTGCTGATGACGTGTTCAGAGCAAAAGTGACTAACCGCTTGATCTTTGGGGTGGGTCGTCCTCGTAAAATGTCTCCCCACAACACAAATAATGACACCAATTCCATTTTTTTGAAAAAGACTTCTTTATTTTTTGGAGGGGGGTATGGGACGGAGAAGTGGTTGCACACGAGCCGTCAAATGTGCAACTTGGCAGGTACGGGTCGACTGTGAAAGGAGAAAAGTCGATCATCATCGCCCAACTTCTTCAATATACCGCCCGTCTTCCAACAAGTCGTGCGTTGTCGCCATAATAGGACAGATTAAACAAAATTCTCTGGTTGGTGGAAATTGATAAGTTTTGATTTTTTGTTAGATGGTGAGGAACAAGCAAGGCAGTCGTTCATAAGCTTTGATTTTGTTGTTTTGCTTGAACTTATTTGAGTTGAAGTTATTGTTTGTATGGTATTAGTTTACACCGTTTTACGGAAGCTGCGAGCATATGAAGCAAGAGATGAGACGGAGTGAACCCCCTGCTTTGTGTTGGTCATTGTTTCACTGGAATCTGAGGAATTCTTTTTACACATGAGGGGGGGTTAGATAACAATAGTCTAGAGTGTGTATAGCGATTGGACATGGGGGTACCCCTCGGTCTCATGCCTTGTTGGATATAGCGGCTCGTTTTGTCTTCAACACCGTATTGGGTGAAGGAGTTACACAGGCGTCGGTTTCCTTACAATAGAGGGAGATCACAGTCATGGGTTGCTCAGATGAACGCAGGGAAGCTTGTAATCCTTTTCCCCCTTTAAACACACCTGTAAAGTGAATTCCGTCGTTGTGAACAGGAATCACTGGGCAAACAAAAGGAATTTGTTCATAAAATGTTAATAAGAGCGTGTGTCTCGCGCGCAGTTTTTCTACAGTTTAGTGTAGACCTATTATGATGTTGAATCTAACGACAAGATTTGCAATAGTACATGTAAGTCAGCACGCTCTTCTGTCGTCCATTTCCCCTCGAAACCACGGTGTGGATTTCTTGTTTACAAACATTCAGTCCGACATTTCTCGAAAGACTCCATCCTCTAGCGAGAGATTTATGATAGCGTTGCACCCCTGGGTCTGTCATGGTCTACTGGATAAAAACTTTCCAAGTGGATCATGTAGAGGAGAAATGCACTTCACCAACACGAGGCGGGGTGAAATGTCCACCCTTTTCTGGCCGAGGTAATGAATCGACTTTTGTTGTCAGATATGAACGCCTGAAATACTATACAGGCCAGCAGGTGGAATCGAAAGAATGAAAGGCCTTTACACATTGTATATTGGCTTGCAACATTATCTGTGAAGGACATAAGTTTTACCCGGTAAGTTCGGGATCATTCGTTGCATCTGTTACTCAATGGCATGACACGCCCAACCCGGCTCACAACCAGCTACACGGACAAGTATGATGCATTACGTTGTAATTCGATAGTTTTTGTGGTGAAGAAAACTTGACCTTTTTTGCGCCCGTGATATGCAACTTTTGTATAACATTTGCTTTCTCGGGAATGGGTCAAAGTAGCTATTTTTCACAAATAAATCACGACTATCAGATTTTAAGAAACGGCTTGTTCGGTAGTATATCAGTTAGGGCCATTTTTGTTTTGCAATATGATGGTAACTATTTTCCACATTATTTTTCGTCTCCTCGGTGAACTGATAGGTTACACATCGTCGACAGCATTCCGATGGCATGTATACTACACGCAGATTCTTTAGCGTGTACGGGCTGGGAAGTAAACGTGTTACAGATGAATTTCTGCACCTGTTCGCGATGGATGGATACACCACTGATCGTTATTACTTTTGAGCATCTTGTTTACTTTACAAAAGTCAATTAATACTTCACCTGCTTTCGAACGAATCGTCCCTTTTCCTCCATTGCCATTGTTGTTTTCTCTGTCTGCTCATCAGTTTAGAAATGTCGTCACAACTGTCATAGCCAATATCGTCGTCATATGGAGGGGATTTCGGCATTATCACTTCTTTCTCATTGTGTCCTTCGTTATCACTTTTGTCGTGGTGACCAGCGTTGTCATCATACCGGTCATTGGGTATCCTAGTTATCACTGTTTCTCCTGCAACCACTGCCATCATCGTCACCATCGCCCCCATACCACCTATCCCTTCCGTTGCAAATTTGTACCAGTCATTTTGTTTCCACTAAAAACGCTTAGCAATTGCTGATCCGTCAGTCTTTGGCAAGGATTGCTGGGGGGGGGGTACTGGAAGGGCCAGTACAGTTTGTAAATTGTACTCGCTTGTCTCAAATTGGTCTCCTCAGCAACGCCAATGACCTCTGCCCCCTGCGTCACTCATCGCTGTAATTGGCCGACAGCGCTTTACGTGGACTACGCTCGCGGGCTGTCCAATGTAATCAAGCGGACCACCTTGGACAACCTCGGGCTTTACAGGCGATGTTTTGCTGTCATGCTAGATCTGAATTATATGGTACCCTGGTGCTCCGCGGTAAGAGAATACCAATGATAATATTTGTGTGATGTTATAGCACTTCAGTCAGGGAATGCCTTTAATAACATAATGGCAGGTTCAAGACTGCATGTGGATTTTTGTGTTTAAACTTTAGAAAGGTATTCGATCTAGTCGCCACTTCTGATCGAATCAACTTGCTTTACCTTGCGGGTATACTCGCGACTGAAATCGCACAGCCTACATGGAAGTAAATGGTGAAAATGGAATGCGCATATTCACCAGCACCATCTGTTAGTGTTCAAGCCTGGGGTCAAGATTTATTGGTCATTTTGTCAAGAGAAATTTCGTTGCGAGTATTGACAAGTGGGAGAAAAATGGCTCTTTTTTTCTGAAATCGGATTGTGTGTCATTTACCGATTTTTTTTAGATTAAAAACGCCCACGATTCCGACATACTTGTGAAAGATTAAAAACGCCCACGATTCCGACACACTTGTGATATTATTAGTTTCGCGCTCTCATTTTGCACGCTGCAATGCCAGATTAGTGTGGGTGTGAGTGTGTGGGGGGGGGGAAATCACACATAAAAATGCTAAGATGACGATGTATACGTTTGAAAGGTTACTATAGTGTCGACAATTTATAACCACATAATTTCGTATTTAAACCTGATATAAGATGCTGTATCTTGTCAGCTGATCTGAAAGGGCAGAACAAGCTAAATTGCGTTAGTTTTATAGACACATTGTACATCTTATCTTCAAGATCCTACAGGGTGATGCTCCATCTGGGTTTGCGGTCATCAAAAAACAATCAACTCAAGGAAACCATGGCTCATTATCGTTGAGGGGGGGGGAGAAGATTTCAGATTGCAGCACCCAAACTTTGGAACTCTTTACCGGATCTGTGAGATTATCGAGATCACTTGACACATTCAAGGACAGATTGAAATCATGTTTCCATCGACAAGCGTTTGGTTAATATTCCTCAACTTGTCATTATTGGATGTCTTTGCTTTGTTAGCGCCATGAGAGCCGTTCGCGGCGGATACCAGCGCTCTATAAAGTTTCATCATTATTATTATTAACAGGATGCCTCTTAGTTTCCTCTTCATTTTTCCTGCGATTTCAGTAAGGGCTCTTGATTTTCCGGATGTAACAGACCAAAAATGTCCAAATTTATCAAAGAAGTACCCTGGTTCACATTAAGAACTACATGTGGTTTCAAAAAGACGTTATCCCGGATTATTTATATATCTGGCAATTCGCTCCTTCGGTTGAGTAACTCTGAACTTCAACTTTTAAATGTAAGTGCTTTGAGCAGAAGCACCCCCTCATCAGATGAAAAGAGCGACGTTGGTTGGGAATGCTCATTTTGCTGGTAGCGACGAGCCCCCAACGCGTGCATTTCAGATAGTCGTCTGTGAACCAGCTAAGTGCTGTTCCGACCAAAGGAGCCTTTGTTGCTGGGAAAATTGCGCCCTCTCTCGGTGCAGCTCGAGGCTCATACCTATACCGCTTCTTATTTCGATAATTTAAGGCACGTTTCGGAGAAATAATCTCATTGGAGTTGTGTCAGACGTAATATGATTATGAACTTGAATCGGCTCCCACGAAGGCACACCTTGCGCATGGTTGTCATCTGGTTTGGTCTCAATTATCTGGAGACTTGCAGACGCAAGTTATGACGATCCAGAAAAATAAAGAATACAAGAACAAAACACTGCACATAGACGATTTCATCAGTGGCCTAACTAGGGCTACATTTCCCCGGAGGGGGACACCCACTGCAGGGGTGCACATAGTTTTTCAAGAGGGTACCACAAGAAAATAAACTGCAGTTGCATTTCAACGGACACTCTTAACAGATTTCAAATGGGGGGCATTGGGGGGAGGGGGGCGGGCATCCGCTGGGGGAGGGGGGACACGCCGCCCTCCGTAGTGTCACAGTGTATCACTGTGTCTATTCACAGTGAATAAAGAATTATTCCAAGATGTCTTTAACCAGTGAGGCACGGTACCACACGGAGAAATGCTTGGAGAAATTGGGCCAGCCTTTAATGTGAGTGTCAGAGTGTCTTGTCCTACACCCAATAATTCATGGTTAACCCTGCAGGGAACTCGACTCAAAGTCACCGCCTGCGTGTGGGTGTCGCGTCGCCTGATCCGTGTAACGATCACGTTACCACCCGTGACCATAGGCGCGATACAGCAACGGCGGCTGTCGAAAAGTGCAGATAGCCCTCAGCCTCTGAGAGCCCAAATGGCTATATTATTGCATATAGTTTAAAGTACCTTCACGATGATGAACGCCAGCTTCTGCCAAAAAGTGGGACCTAGACCCAGAACAGCCAATAAATATTGGCTGTTTTGTTTTGATTATAATTCTTCCATCTTACCAGTGAAAGGGGATAACAGCACGGACAGACCAACGCGAACAACTTCCCTACATCAGCGGGTTCTGGAAATTAATATGATTCTCTTTTGTAATCTTATAAATTTGCGTCTGTCACATTGAAATTGTTCTCAGTAGTGTAAGCCCCGGTGATGTCGAACCATTTGATCGGTGGAAACACATGGATAGGCCTATATCTTTGAAAGTTAACGGGACGGTGGACTCCATTGACTATATGTTCTTCGGTCAATTTGGCCCATATGAATGTTTTGGCTGGTTTTTGAACCGATGCATATTGATCGTCGCTTTCTATAAGCATGTGCGCAGTGTGCGCACCAAATGACCACGTTGCTGCAACATAGTATAGTCCAGGATGACAGATGGGAATTTCCGGAAACGATTGTCAAATTTCCTCATTCTTAAAACAATCACCCCGTCCCCAAGGAAGGTGGTCATCTACCATTTCTTATAATTTGACATTTTCAACAGACCTGTGATGAAGTCACGCTTTGTTCACGTGCACTTTCCCAGAGCAGCAAGATTGGACGCGATCCATTGGAAAACGTGCATGTACACAAAGCGCGACGGCATTATGTTTTTGCTCTATCAAAAAAAATGATCTTGCCAGCTTGTCCCACTAAGGGGGAAGTCCCTCCCCCCCCAAATCACTTACACAACGTGTGTCTGTTCAATCATGCACAAGGGATTAAGAAGCGATGAACTTCCAATTAAGTTCCTTGCAACTGAAGTGTGCAAATTGTCCATAGTTTGAATTGTCAAAACATGAACACAAACGATGCCATGCTCTATACCAGCCACGCCAGACGCACAGAATACTTAAACAGCTGAACACGATGGGCTGTGGCTAAGTTGAATCTAGAACGCGTGGAACATAAGGGATAGTTCGATCCATCATTCAGGTTTGTAAAGATGGTTAACTGGAGGACCATCCTTCATTAAGCGTTGTCATGTTTACTGAGCAAACTTGAGCGAATGCCATGCTTCACCAAGATGTTTAGTACATTGTAAGGTGATTCATGCTGGAACAAATAAACTACGTGAAATAACTTTGTTATGACGTAAAGCAGACAGGGGCCGAAATCACCAACAACAGATTAGTGGTGAGAAGAAAGGGTGGGAAAACGGAGGGCTCATTAGGATTTGCAGAGGCCTGAATGGAAAACGTCAGGATTTAAGGGAACAAAGAGGCCGGGCACAGAGGGAAAAGGCTTTGTGATTTGGCATTTGGGAGTGGGCACGGGTTAATAAACCAACAGCACCATGCAGGGCTAGTCTACATTTAGCACCGACTGCCAGTTCAGTTCAGTCATTCCAGTGTAAAAACCACCTGTAAAAACCAAATATGGATTTGATTTTCCTGCCGTTTTATAGCATGGACAAGGATGCCTCGTGGCTGGCGCACTTTGAGGAGCAGTTCAGCCAAGTGGCTGGCGATGATCGTAACATCTACCTGGAGGAATTCACCAAAGCGCTGAACGTCAAGAAGGTAACCCCAGAAACGCTTGTTTAAACCTTTTGCTCCGGTCTTGAAGAAAGATGGTCGGTAAACTAACAAAAGCAAAAACGAATACTTGCTTTAGGGGGTCGGGGTTGATACTGGAACTGTCAGGATCACACTCATGCTCCATTTGAAAAGAGGCAGGATTTCCAGAAATTGGAAATACATGTCCAAACTATGCAAAAATAATACCGGCAGTTTGGACTAACGCTTGTCGGGGGAAAAAATCTCAGATGGCTTTCCAAAAAAAGTTACACTTTATTCCCCACCTCACATGCACCGGTTGCATTGATAAGTCCAACCATTAATATTGATCGATCGATTGGTTTATCGATGTCATTGCAGTCGTTCTTCGCCGAGCGATTTTTCCACCTGATTGACACCGACTGCTCCGGTAGTATTAGCCTGAAGGAGCTCCTGGTGGCCCTGCGCCTGCTGGTACACGGGACGGCCACCGAGAAGCTACGCTTCCTATTTCGGGTCTACGATGTCGATGGTGATAACCTAAATTAATGAATGTGTCAATTAAGTCTTATTTACGAGGGATTTCGTACTCCTGTATGCTTGTAGGGCTAATAATGTGTGTCACACCAAGGGGTCCATTTTCCCCGTAGTGGACCAACATTGAAAAGTCTTCTTATTAGTCAATTATTCAGGTCCGTTGAGGAAACCCGTATCCACCAGTCCAATGGTGACGGTGATGGCCACGCCCTGAGAGCATGCATGTCCTTGACAGATGCCCAGGTTGTTGCCAGTTCCCTGGGTCAGTGCAAACTTTGACTCCGGAGCCGATGAATCCCGAAGCAGGGGTCAATCTCCAGGCTGTTGAAGGAGCATACGTTCCCGCAGATTCTAGAATGGGCGTGAGAACCCTCTTGAAAGGCCTGTGTCACCAGGTTCTAGGTTCACCTAGAACCGTCCTGTAGTTGTGACTTGTTCACGCAGACCAAATGGTTCACTCAGAACCCACAAGACTTGAGATTCCCCTCAGGGAAAAAGCCCTTTAAAGATAAATCTAAATAATTCATAATGTAACCCCTGTTGTGATAATAGTAACCTAGTTTGGCTGTTGCCACCAGTTTCATTTAACCCAGGGTTGATTTACGTTTATGATCAAACTCGTGCCAAAATGCATACTTTCTTTTTGAAATATATCTCAAGATTGAGCTTTTCCACAGTTGTTGCATACAATATAAATTATTATTAATATAATAAATGAAATTAACTTACAGTTTTCCAAACTGGCTTTCCTTTAGGGCCACGCACTAGGTACAATACACTCAGTATTTTGTACCTCACCACACAGGTGGACTACCCATCTTTACACCACTCAGGCTGCAATGGTAGTGCTACCAGCACACACACGAGTGTGCCTTGAACCAAAGTCACTAAAGCATACTTAAATTACATAACATTGTACTGTACGTACTATTCTCGACAGAGATTTGGTTTTGAACACACATGTTGTCCATTATATTCAACAGTGGGGTTGGACAGAAAAAGAGGAAACAAATCTCTAATGATGGCTCTTAAATTTTACCTCAATTTCTACCTAAAACTTCATAAACATGATTTATAAATCACTCATCTTCTGACAATGTGCAAGAAGTGACGTCTGGGTGTTGCTGTGGTGAACCATGCAAGATCATGACGTAAACTTGGCCACAACACAATCAGCAGCATACTCTTCCGTCAAGATGTTCTTTGCATCGGGGAGATACTTTTCCATCAACAAAATTCTAGAGTGACAGAAATGAGAACTTTTGAGGTGACCCTCCAATAAAAAGCACTGTAGTCGGAGTTTTCAGTAATGTTGTGCAGCTTTGTGCATAGTATGGGACAGGATTTTATCCGAGGTGCGAGTGCTTCCGTATCCTGAAATATAGGTTTATTGCATAGCTGTTAAGACTAAGTGTGGAAAAAACTGCATTAATAGGATAAAAAATATATTTTCTGTATAAAGCCCGTCTCTGTGTAAAACCTGACCTTTAGGTTACCGAGGATTAGGATGTTGGGATTGAGCCCTTGACCCGCATGCTTTACGAAGGCAGACCTGTCTCTCACGCGACTTGTTGGTTTTTACCAAGCTTTTTCGAACCCCAAACATTTGACTGTCAGTGACATACGCTCAGAAAACCAAACTGTGCAGTTTGGATTTGTATACATTACAGACAATAATTATGAAAGGATATTTTTAAATTGGCTTATCAGTCAATCGATAAGCCTGCTCTTGTTTTGGTATTAACGACACTTAATTCGCACAGCTGTTACACCGTACATTCATTTGATGGTCATAACCCTCGTGTTTGAAAAAAGGATAAATTGTTTTGTTACAAATATCTGATGAAATGAAAAAAAAAAGAGATATTGGAAAAATGCTGTCCGGGAGAATATATTTTAAGTAGATCATAAACCACTCTCACCTCTGCTTGCAAATCGGTGCTTTTCTTGTTTTCGATAAGGGAAAAATTCAGATTGGTAGGCTTCGCACATCGAAAATTTGACACTGGGCATGATCGATTTAGGTTGATCACAATATATATTGTGAAGGATATACACACAGTTATACAGGTTGTGTGGTTATAAACCACTCTCCTAGAACAGGATTTCTCTTTAATCCACGTACCCTTCCTCCCCTGATATCAGGCAACGGGTCCATCGACTTCAGTGAGCTTCGCACCGTGCTGAAGTCCTGCACGGCGGAGAGCGCTCTCCAGCTCAGCGAGGAGACCCTGGACGAGTTGACCGAGGTGTTGTTCGAGGAGGCCGACACGGACTCGAGCGGCGCCATCAGCTTCGAGGAGCTGCAGGCACAACTCGAGAAGTACCCGGATATTGCTGAGAACCTCACCATAAGGTGGGCGAAAACCACGTAGAGGTGTCCGATTCAGTTACGGCTACGGCTTGTCAGGTTTTTCCATTGGTTTAATATGGTGGGCAGCCAAAGCCAAAGGAAAGAATGTCTGTCCCGGACGCAATCGTTTAGATGCTATATTTGCCCCTTTCAATATTATGGAGGCAGTCTGTTGTATTTTGCAGCGACCACCCTCCTCACCCTCTTGTGAATACTCTTGCTGCGCGTTTGGACATTTTTGACTGGGGCCACAGAGTAAAAGTAACAGTAAACTGAAAAATATCAGTCCATGATGCAAACTAGAAAAATGCAACATTGTATTGAACGGCAATCTAATCATAATAATGTAGAATTTGCTGCTTTTATGAGTTGTGGAGCTTTTGTTCAGTCGAGAAACTGTGCAAGATGGGTATGAACAATTTGTTTTAGACCCCTCCTCAAAAAAATGTCAATGAAGTTATTTGCACTAAATTCAATATTTACAGTGCCGCCGACTGGTTGCGCCCCCCATCTGCATCCCAGAAGAAGAAGAAGCAATCGGCCAGCCACGACTGCTGCCGTAATCGCTGCCCGCGGCTCAGGTTGAAGAGTGTCCGTAACAACCAGAGCATCATCATCTTTATCGCCGTCTACGTGGCGCTTCACATCGGACTGACGGTGTGGGGCGTCGTCGGGTCGTGGCGAGCCTTCCCGGACAAACCCTGGTTGATGGTGGCCCGAGGAGCGGGTAAGTACGTCAATATTTCATGCTGTCTACTGCCTTGCTGAAGCGACCCTAAATTTGTGCCATCGTGAGCGTTAGCAGAGACGTTAAGCATAATTGCAGAGGGAATCAAAGCGTTTAAAAGTCGTTGATGTTATGATAAAGACCAGTACATAACTGTATTAAGTTTCCATTCGTTTGTAAGCTCCCAAGCGATCTTCGATATGGGTAGCTTTCCACGTCTTAGATCCATCAAATTTTCACTATCGAGTTCAATAGCCTATTACGTTTTGCTATATATGGCAATATTTCTCTATGAACTATTGACCCGTAGGGGGAAGTGTTTTTGTAAGCTTCGAACAGTATCGGGGACGAAGCCTGAAACGGGGGCAGGCTGAGATTTGGAAATCCCTCGAAGACGCCTGAACGAGTACATCGTCCTCAAAACAAACAAAAGGCGAGGTTGGTGGACCGATATAAAGTCATTGCTGTGCCTTAGGCGAACCATGCAACACTGGTGTTCCCAAACAATCGTGGACGTGAAACAAAAGAATTAATGACCATCCACGATTCCCGATACGTCCACGATTGCCAAACGTGTACAAAACATATTAGAGGCCTTCCAAAAAAGTTAAAGTGTGAACAAAAGAGGACATTAGGAACGTCCACGATTGCCCCCAAAACACGTTTGTGTGAGCGCGCTCAAAGCCTATCAAAAGTTTACGTTCCACAGATCGTGGGTACGGCGTGCCCTCATACAACCATTTAATCTACAATAACACTGAACAGCTAGAAGTGTCACCACTTCAAACCCTTCTGCATTCTAATGGGTTGGTATAGACCATCAACACGAAGGTGATGAAAGAAGTAACTCAATGAAGTCCGAAAATAGTGGTCACTATGCATTTGGCAAGGTTTGGGTATGGGAGAGACAGCAGAAACTTCCACAGTCAAAAATTACGGAACACATGTAGGCTATCGTTACTTAGCTAGCTCTGTGATGTAATAAAATTATCGAAGAGGAAAGTTGCGCATTTTTAAAGAGTTATGCGAATTTGCTTTAGGCTTGAAAATACAGAAGATACTACCTTTGTAGTCGGCACGGTAAGATGGCCGCCAGTGGCTTCAATAACCTCTGCGTGCTGACTATTAAAGGGATTCCGGGTCTAGATAATAGTCCGTGATGCATTCACGAGATTTGCACTAGTGCTTTGAATTCCAATCACATTGGCTTTTTACAATCAGAGCCTGCTGATTTCGAGGAATAACGGCCTCTCTAATATTTATGTTTTCTCTTACCAGGTCGGTGTTTGAGTTTCGACTGCGTGTTCGTCCTGTGTCTAATGCTCCGTAAATGCTTGACTGTGATACGTAGCACCAACGTGGCAGCTGCGTTAGTCCTGATTGACCAACACGTGGACTTGCATAAATTAGTCGGCTACGCCATCGTTGGATTGTCTCTTGTGCACATTAATGGACATGTTTTTAATTTCCGTAAGTTGTTCAATGTGAAATGTATAAAAGGCTAGGCAAAAAAAAAATTCTTAACTGCTGTTAAATCGCTAATTGCGCGCATGCTCAATTTCTTTACCCGTCGTTCTTATGGGGCGGGGCTTGCTTTCAGATGTCACACAGTTCTGTGTTCATTATTATGGAAGGAACAAATTACTTTTCAAAAGTGAGATGATTTTACATGTCTAGAAGGCTTTAAGTTCCTGCCGCACCGTGTAGAAATTTAGACTGTGCAATGACTTAAATACCATTTATTGAAAAAAAAACATGCTTTCACAGATACGTCCTTCACTCATAGAAGGAAGGAAAAAGTCTTAATGCATGTGTGCAGATTTTGAAATCTCACATTTTTGCTGAAAACTTCTCCTTTACTTTGCTTATTTTGTTCTTCAATATTCATGGCCAGATAATCAGTACAATGAACTGGCGATTTTTTTTTCCTGGTCGCAGTCGATATGTCTCTTGGAGCCACCAACTACACGTTGGTAGAGTATCTATTCACGGTGACCCCTGGAATTGGTTGGGTAGCTGGGACTGCCAGTATCACAGGTCACGCCCTGACTGTTATCCTCCTCATCATCTTCGTCTTCTCGTTCTCCTTCATCCGGCGAAGAGGTTACTTCCAGGTGAAGCAGTTTCTCCTCTTTCAAAAGGGTTCAAATTTCTGTTGTGAGATCCTAAGTTTCTTTTCATATTTAAAAAAAAAGTCGGTAATGAATGAGTGCGCCGACAAGGTAGTTTGAAATCTATTGAAGTTTTAAACAGAAGGCGCAATACACAGTTGTTTTATTGATGAAATGTTGACTTATAACAATTTTTAACCTGTGAGAAGTTCTTATCAACACACAACCCCTCGATGACCGTGTTAAGAAATACAGGGACGGAAGATTTTTTTTTTTCAAAATGGCCACTTTAGAGGGGTTTTGTTGCCCTTCAAGGGACATCCTTTCTTTCGATTGCCTAAAAATGTCATGATAAAAAAATAAATATGTACCCCATTCCCGTTTCCTAAATGGAGAATTCAAAAACAGTTACAAAAGTTCAACGATATTTTGTGTTTTCCAAAATATGACAGATGGTGTGATAGTCGATACAAACCCAATTTTAGGTGTGGCCCCATACTCGATTACACAGCCTTTCAAATGCCCTATGGTCACCGCTGGGCAGTAACTTTTACCCTCATAGGTGCGCTTCAAAGTTACTATACTTGTTTCACTCAACGGGTTTTCCTTATTCCCTCGTCTTACGCGCGTCACTGTTTGCCCTAGGTGTTTCACATGACGCATCAGTTCTCCATTTTGTTCTGGATTCTCCTGATCCTTCATGCCACCACGTTCTGGATGTGGTTCATCTTGCCTGGTACTCTTTACGCCATCGAGCGATTCCTCCGGCTGAAGTTGGTGCGCCGGGCTCGAGACGGCCGGACGTTCATCAAGAAAGCCGTCGTGTTACCAGCCAACGTGAGTTTCGTTTGAAAAAGTGGTATGAATGGATGAAAATCTGTAGACTGGTTCTCCAGAGCAATACGGAGGCCATTTTTGCGCCAACTACTGAAGTAGTAAAACAGCCTGATTGTTATCAGAAAGAGAAGTGGCACTAGAAAGCTTCAGTTTTGATTGAGTATTGCGTAATTGTTGAGAAAACAATTAGACAAACGACTCTTTATTTGGAAATACACCTCACTTTTGTTTCTTACGGCAATTCCATGTAAACATCCAAAGGCGGGACAGTTTTCAGTAAATTTCAAAGTCGCTTGTCGTGTACTAAATTTAATTTAGGATTTTTGCCCTGCCCGACATGTATTATAACACAAAGCTTGTGAAAAACCACAAGCGTACTCGAGTGGGACTCGAACCCACAACCTCCTGCTTGCTAGTGCAGACGTCTTAACCACTCGACCACCGAGCTTGCCTGTGTCGGTTGGCTGGTCCGAGTCATATGTAGTTCAAAATTTCTCGGTTTTGTGTTGGTCAGTTTATGTCATGCATTGTTGCATTAATGATCAGAGAAAGTGCTATGTGTCATAAAGCTATTCAATATCACAATCAGGACAACTTACCTTGTCTTTTAAAATTTGTTTTGGGGAACACGCCTTTGGCAGCAAACGAGTCCATAGAACTCAATACATGTACATTGCATACTAGTACATCTACAGGCCTATCTGTAATCTGACGTACGGTTTGATGCACAGGTGACCCTGCTCATTATTCCTAGACCTCCCAAGCTTCGGTTCCATCCTGGTGAGTACGTTCACATCAACATCCCCCAGATAGCCAAGAACGAGTGGCACCCCTTCACCATATCAAGTGCTCCTGAGCAGAAAGGTTGGGTACTTTTAGATTATTGACTTTATATTTAAAATTCTACGTCAGTATCACTTTTCTGTCGCCGAAACGATTGGTGTTATGTTTTTGCGACGTTTGTTTTAAGGATTTTCCGGCTTGCTTTCTGTTGATTGGTAGCTTTTATTACTCTTCACATCCGGGCCATCGGTAACTGGACAAAGCGACTCCGTGCCGTCTGCAGGGAACGACAGCAAAAAGAACTAACGTGCTTCGAGAACCCGGCCTCCGAAATTAGAGAGGGTAAAACCCTTGAGGTCCTCGCAGAGGAAGGATCGCTACGATCCCCCATAGCGTCGCCGAAGAGAAGCCCTGGCCAGTCCGCGGAGGGACACGAGCTTCAGTTCGCCCTGCCTGGTACACTGGGTAGCGAGGACGAAAGGCCAAGTCGAACGACAGACTATCGGTCAAAAGTTGACAGGTGCAATAACGTTAGAGAACAGGGAGTTGGTGGAGATGATAAGAATCGGTTAACAGACTTGAGCGATACAGAAAGCGGTATCGAGACCGTCGTGCCAGTGGAATCGACCAAAGTTAAGCCACTCTCTGGGCCCTTGATCCTCCCGCCGATACAGAAGATGAGTCCGCTCATTAGCGAGTGCTACGCTGAAGACAGACCGCTATCGTCCAAAGCCACCCCTTCCAAGCCGACTTCCACGCCGACTTCCACCGCCGGGCCGTCCAGAAAAGACAGTGGAGTGTCAATCGAGCAGCGAGTCCTTCAGAGTGTGAGGGCATCGTCGGGCCACAGCGAGACGGACCTAAGGGGAAAATCAACGGGCTCTCAGCCCCGGACGTTTCTCTCCTGGACTCCGCAGTCACCACCAGTGTCACGGCGGCGAAGCAGCAGTTTCAATAGGAAACTGACTCAACATTCCTTGGATGTTGTCGAATCCCTCGTCGAGGACCCCGACGAACATACAGGGATCGAGGTATTTTACTTTTTTGCTACATGTGTGTCTTACAAATCTAAAAAATTAAGCAGGAAAATAATCCAGTTGCAACAAAGAGTAACTTGTCTCCTCTGATGTAATTCCACACTAACACAAATCACATTCAACCCAATAGGTCCTCCTTCAAACCATTAAAAAAAAATAACTGCCACGTGCATTTTTCACAAAATGACATCAACATTTACGAAACCTCTTCATCTAAAAGAAATAAGCTGTCTCTAAGTTTAGAACTAAGAATGGTGAAATTGAACTTAAGCTGGTTCATGCTAGGAAGAAAGCGTAGGGCTCAGGTGAGGTCCAGTGTAAATAAGGCATCGACACAATGGAAAATTTTGCATGCAAGTTCGCTTTCGCACCATTGTCAATATGAAACGGTTTTTACCAAGTACACGTTCTAGATTAGCAAAGGAATAATGTCTCAAAATGCAAACAGAGCCTTGGATATCGCACCACACTCGTAGCTAGACTTACTACTTAAAAGCCAACCTTCCCGTTTCCATTTACAAGGTGTACATAGACGGGCCCTACGGCGCCCCTTCGCAGCACATCTTTGAGACCGACCACGCCGTGCTGATTGGTGCAGGGATCGGTATCACGCCCTTTGCGTCCATCCTGCAGAGCATCCACGAACGGCACAAAATGGCCACCAAACGATGCAAGAAATGCAACTACGCCTGGCTGGAGGACACACCTTCTCTGCTGAGGCTCAAGAAGGTAATGCCCTCATGCGGCAAAATCTGATGCGCTCCTAACTATTGGTAACCATTTTTTTTCACGACAACCAGTGCTTGTCTTCGTTGTTCCATGGGACACACCAGTGCCATAGACACAGTTTGTTTGGTTTAAAGGATATTCTATTGTTTTACAGAACGTCTCCAACACATGCCTGCAAAGTTTAGAGTTTTAACAAACTTCGACTACGATGTATGTGCTGCTAAACAGAGATGTTAATCGAAAACTTCGGACACTCACAGCCCAACAAAATGAGTTGCGGGATATTGTTTTAAATTTAATGCCATGACTTTATACACAGGTTGATTTCTTTTGGATTACGCGGCAACAGCGGTCTTTCGAATGGTTTCTCAGCCTGCTTAATCACATCGAGTTAGAGCAGGAGGAGATGATGTCATCCGACAGATTCATCAATATCAATTTGTACATGACAGCAGCATTGGGCAAACATGACATGAAGGTGCGAGTTATCTGTTTTGGTGAATTAACAGACATTTTGGTTGATCCGTCAGTTTAACCGGTATCAAAGGTCAGTTTATAAGTCGTAAGCCGGTTTATCAGTTGACCAATAGATATATTATTTTGTTTTGCATCTAAAATAATCATCATTGGAGTCTGAGGCGTCAGTCCTCGATCGACTAGCAAGTCAGTCTTACATCATGTCTGTCATTCAGTATAGAGCAGGGTATAGCTAGTGAGCTATACCTATCCTGAAGACGATGTCATTGTAGAACTTTCCACTATAGTCATTATTGGCGTCAGTTGGTTCATGTCTCATTGCGCACTACTTGTACTTAATCTGCCAGGCTATTTGCCTGTCATTCACGCTTTACCGCAATATAGGTTCGAAAGACTAATTTTTAATACTTTCGTGTATTAAAACTGTGATCATTATTTTGATCAATTGTTTTTGACAGGCAATTGGCCTGCACATGGCCTTAGATCTCATCCACAAGAAGAAGCGGCGAGACATGATTACCGGCCTGATGACGCGAACGCAGGCCGGCCGACCAGACTGGGACCGGGTCTTCGACGACATCGACCAGCGCAAACGAGGCAAGGTCACTGTGTTCTTCTGCGGCTCCCCAAGCCTCGGGGAGGTCCTCAAACGCAAGAGTCAAGACCACGGCTTTGGGTTCCGAAAGGAAAACTTCTGAGTGATAAGTTGGCAATCAGGAAAGAATGAAATATGTGGGATGGATGTTGTAGCATAAGATGCGATACATAGAGGATAGGGAAATAGTAAAGATAGCAACGTTGTGTCGGCCTAAGAACGATACTTAAGGCGCTGAAATGAAAGGTTCGGTGCATTGGAAGGGATGAGATTCCTGCAGACATCTGCAGAATGATTTTTGTCTTGTAATTATGCCTCTTGAACGTTGTAAACAATTCATGTAAAGATATGCTACATCTCAGTGTACCGCGTACTACCTTTGTTGAAAATGATGTACTTAAATTTATGGGTGAATGACAGGCACAATGTACGCTTATAACGTAAGTTAAACTATCAAATGAGACCAAAGTACTAAAGACCCAAGATTTAATTAAGTCGAAATGTTATAATTATTATACAGGGACTAAGATACTTGCGATAAAAGAACACATATCATTGTCGCTGTTTTATTAATTTAGTATACATACATATGGTACTCTGAACTTGGGTTTAGATTTTTAATGATAAACATGACTTTCGTTGGTTGACTTTTTGTACTTTAATACATTATGCAAGTTTTCGTTTGATCGCCATTTTCCATTCTGTTTCTCGTAATACTTATGTTGTTGCTGTGACTCGCATACTATTCCGCTCTTTTCATGACTGTAAGGCGATCCAGCTGGACTCGCTATGAGTATGTTTTCAACATCCAGCGGGGATATCGCACGGACGTGTATAATAAAATCTGGACTCGCAATGTTCTTAAACAGCTTATAGAGATCATTGAATCCATTCGCGGCCATTTTACCGAGCCGAATACAAAGTTTTCCTGGCATTGCCGCCTTTGTTCTTCCTGACGTCAATAGAAAGGAGCCAACCCGCACGCTTGTATTCGGCTCGGTAAAAGGGCAGCTGGTTGGCTTCTTCATACTAAGGCGTTGCAGGTCCAGGTTTATATGCGTCCGTAGGATAGAGGGGTAAGATGCCCCATCCCAGACATGTTGCCGTTTATCTCTCCTTCTGCAGGCGCCAGCATGCAGGAAATGGTGCTGTCACCTTTCTTAGGGGATACTTTGATACTGATAAAACAAATTGTTGTTTGGGGGGAAATTCCATAACTATTACCCCACTCCCTCCCCAACTCAAGACCTTGATGCGCCACTTATTTTTTGAACCAGTTTTGGGGGGCTTACTCGATATGGCGAGTTCACGTCCGTCAGATTCATCACTCTAGCTGGTGCCAAGCATTGGCTGAGGTTTTCATGGTCCGCTATTGTCTTTTTATTGGATCTCCGGTTATCATGGCTAATTTTGCTCGGTGTATCTTTTTTTAACAAACATTTTTACTACTTTTTCAAGCATAGTTGGTGTCATCACGAAAAATGATACAGGTTACTCCAACCCGACCCCTTTCATTAAGCCCGATTCAAGTGCAGATGGTGGAGGGGGGAGAAGAGGGGTCATTGGCCCCCAAAGGAACAGTTTTTAAAAGAAAATAATGAGAGGGAGGCGTTTTTCTATTTCATTTCGCTTCCTTCTAAAGCAATATAAAAATTGCCAAAATGTAGCCCCAGCTCTTAAAAAGACCATAATTAAAAACATAGAAATCTGCAAAATTGTGTTGCTTCCCCCCAAAACGACTCCCCCAGTATTTGGCTTTGGATCTGCCCTTGGCCCAATGAAATCCTTACTGGAATGGGAGTTTTGGTTCCTGTAAAAACATAAGTGTAAAGTTGTGGTATTTTATAGAGTTTTAATATTTTGGGTATACTTGATATATTTATGAGGCATGACAGTTTTTTATTAATACCTGTTTTAAAAATGCATTTCTTTAAATAGGAAATACAGTGAATGTTCGGTCAGAGTAACAAGGCCTTCTAAATTTTGCTTATTTATATGAGGTTAACAGCATTTGCCATTGTAAATAATAACTTATAAATTAGCTATTGAAACCAGAAAACCACAATGATTCTCAACTGGGAATGGATTATTTGCAAAGCCATCATTAGTGTGGTACATGTTGGGTTTTTGTGCGTTCCCAAAGTTCAAAAGGTTTGCTTGAAAATAGACTCCTTGTGACCGAAATGAGATGGTCACTTACGAAACACCATGATCTATATCTTGCTCTCAAAGTCCACGTAAATACTGACCTAAATCACACATTCTTTTACTAGCCGCTGCTGATTAGAAAAAACACTTAATAGCTTTGGGTTTCATGCGATAAAGGCCAATGATGTTTTGTTACTGCAGAATATATTACCATGCAGTTCAGTTCCATATTATAATAAGCTGTTGCGCCCAGGTGTCCTGTCGTTTAAAAGGTCAGTTTCCTTCAAAGTATTAAGTTACTTGTTGAGGATATTCGTATTTTGACTGGGTAATAAATGAAATTTACATCACTCGGAAGAGTAAAGCAGAGTAAATATACCTAGCCCATTCTCCGTCCTCAGACACCATTTGACGCTCCTATGTAAGGAAACAAAAGCAGAGTCTCTTTAAAAAACTTCACTTTACTATCGCATCCACGCACTACCGCAATGACTTAAGACTTGCACGCCCCTGTGCCGCTACCCTCTGTCTACGTCAACGCCCACTCCGGCGGGGCTTTAGCGCGGAACCCGACCATTCACCGCACGGTTACCCTGACTCAAGTGTTGTGTTCTTTTCCGAATTGAAAACAGTGCCTACGTGCAGGGACGACCGGTCGTCACGGTGTAGTAACCGGAGGATTTTGGGAGTGTTTTTCAGTGTTTTATCAAAAGCTCCATGAACTGAATACCGAATACTCTCCACAAGATGTCTGCTAAGACTTTCAGCGTGAAGTGCGAGGCCACTACCCCATGCGAAGGCCAGAAACCGGGCACAAGCGGACTTCGGAAACATGTCACCGTCTTCCAGTCGTGGCGGTACACGGCTAACTTTGTGCAGAGCATTTTGTCGGCAATGGACGGCGCGACCCGCGAGGGATGCACGCTGGTGGTAGGCGGTGACGGACGCTACTACATGAAGACGGCCGTGCAGATTATAATCCAAATTTCTGCTGCCAACGGGGTAAGAGTTTGCCGTAATAAGGATGGATGGGCTTATCTGTCTTTAGGCCTACATGTAATTAGAACTGTAGACATGGTAGCACTTAAGGTTTGGTTTGGGGAAAGAGTTCTAATACGGACGCACACCCTGTGCACAAACCCTATGAGACTGGTCAGAAAAATTGTGTTTTCTGAGTAAACGACTTGGTATTTTCCCACCTAAAGTGTTTTTGCTTTTTGATAGATCACTGCAGGGAATAATTACTGCCGTCTGTATATGGAACTCTTTCCAATTTTTGGAATTAATTGTGTGTTTTCTTTCTTTTTGGTATGATGCGGCAGGAAATAAATTAATGCGGAGTTGTTGATAGCTGTTATCAAGAAAAACTAGTATCATGGTGTTACTTAGATAGGATATTTGTAGATTATAGGTAGGTGTGGGGGAATTCTCAACTTAGCCTTGGGATATTTTTAAATCAAACCTGTATATTTTATACCACCTTCCCATGTGCTGTGTATCTAAATGGAGTTTTTACAGTTTCATGTGTTGTCACATTCATAGTTAATCAGTGTGAATTTGTTGATGAAAACAATATTAAAGGAACTGCATTTGTTGAAAGACATCGCTTGCAATTTTACATAGAGCCCACAGGTGTAATGTTTATAGCACTCTGAGCGGAAGAGAATAAAACAATTTGGAGTATACACGAAGACACTTGCTGGTACCATCAGAAAAAACCCTGGCAAGTACATAAATGAAACAAGCAGAGATTTGCATAGTTGCTCCGCCCTTTATTTTAAAGATAAAAGTTTTCATGTGCACATTTGGCACCTAGTTATTTTCAAGGGTGTAATTGATATGTGCCTACTGTAGCATTACTATTTCTTATCTCATTTGCATATTGTAGATTGGCAAGCTTGTGATTGGCCAGAGTGGCTTGCTGTCGACCCCGGCAATGTCTTGCTTGATAAGGAAGCGCCAGGCAGCAGGTGGAATTATCCTGACAGCCAGTCATAATCCTGGTGGCCCAGACGGTGACTTTGGGATCAAATTCAATATATCCAATGGAGGTACATGTAGTAGTACAAAGTAACTGATGACCCACCCCACCCTTCCCCACAGCCAGCCTCCGCCTCTCCAGTTATTCCATACTGACTTCCAGAATTGCAAGACACGTCTTTGTTGATGAATCCAAAGAAAATTATATAACTATAATTGAAGGGAAAAAAATCAATCCATCAGGTTTATTCAAATGGCCTACAGGATAGGTCCAAGATTAGTTTCAATGTAAATTATTTGTCTTTTCAATGTTATGAGAAAACCACTTGTAAAGGCAAGAGTTATGGAGATTCTAATTTCAATTACATACATGTATTTGATTCCTGCCAATGTAGGACCTGCTCCAGCTGGCATAACTGATGCCATCTACGACTTAACAAAGACAATCTCAACTGTCAAGCACTGCCCAGACTTGAATGTTGATGTCAGCTCAATCGGGACCCAACAGTTTGACATACAGGGCAGACAGTTTATAATTGAGGTAATTGGCTAATGGGGAGTGGTTCAAGGGTGCATATGAGAGGGTGTGTTCTCTGCCCTCCACCCCTCCTCTGGCAACACGTTCTCCCTCTCTCCCGTGAGAGATAGTGAAAGAAAGCGGAGCTGGGATGTACATATATTTGTTGTCTCTTCTTTCCCAAAATCCTGAAAAAAGTCTAGAAGTTTAGCTTCACTTCTCAGAAGGGCCCTAGAAGGTTACATAAAAAAATTCTCAAATTCCCCCCCCCCAAAAAAAACCCTGGCCTCTCGAAACTTTGGTTCTTGATCTGCCCATGATCCAATTATGTGGGAAGCAGTGATTGAGCTCCACCTTCTACATTCATTCCTTCAGAAGTCTTGAAAACCTTCAAGAAGATTTTTATTTATACCAATGGAATCACGTTTGATGCTTCCAGTGATGGGTGTTCCAGTTGTGTTTTCAATGTGTATTCCGCCCCCCAATAGGTTGTTGACTCCGTTGAAGACTACTTGGCCCTGATGCGAGAGATCTTTGACTTTGAGGCTTTGAAGAAACTATTGAGCGGACCCCTGAAATTTGTTGTGAATGCGATGCACGGAGGTAGAGTATGTTACATGCATGCTTCTCATAAAATGAGAGTGTTTCCAACATGTTGATTTGGAAGGGTATTTAGGAGAGGGGAAGAAAGGAAAATGAACATGTTCATGCATGATGGCATGGCCACAACATCTGTAGCGACAGACTGCTATTCAAACAACAGCTGTTTGTGGGTATAAAACACAGCTGTCCTCTTGGTATCTCACATCATACAGACAAGCACACTCTGTGTGAAGGAAACGTCGGATCAGGGCATTCATGCAAATTTACCATGCAACGATAATGTACATAATTAAATTCAGTCGTAGCCACCCTCTATAGTTCTTTGCATTTTAGAAATGCTTGCATATTTGTTAACGACGGATGACAGCCAAAATGCCTGCATGTATATTTGTTAACGAGGGATGACAGTCCAAAAGAGTGCGATTTTTGTATTTTATATTCAGGCCTATATCACAGCACCTTTTCCTGTACTGGATGCAATCATTATGCTGTTCTTTTAAGTTGAGTCAATATCAGTTCTCTCTGTGAACATCACTGAGATATGGCATAGAGTGCCTGTATTTTCAGAGAGGTTTGTATTCACACCTAGAGGAAAAGGCATGATGGGCGGTTTGCATACCATTTGTTTATGATGAAAGTGCCCCTCTTGTAGAGCTAGGTTCACTCTGAATAACAGGTCCTCTTTCCAAGACAAACAAAAAAGACAGAAAACACCTGGCAATGTTTTGGATATACATATTATGGATCTTTTCACAAACTCGGGAACCCCAATTTTTTTTTGGGGGGGGGGCATCAGGGATTGGGGCTAAATTTAATATTGAACTCATACATGCAGGTTGAAAAGCTTGATGCTTTCATTGACATGAGGCATCTAGCTCCTGGAGATTCTGGCGTGTTTGTGTACTCTAGTCTGGCAACAGTCATGGACGAGTGGGTTTTTTGTGTATTATGGTTATGATGCTTGTATGCACAGACTGAGGTTCCATTCAACCCAAAAGGCATTTTGTAGAGCAGGATTTAAAGTACTTCCAGCATCCCTCCAAAAGCGGAACAGATGTTCGCATGGAATAAATTCGCTGAGGTCAACTCCCTCTTCATAGCTTGACCTTTTGTGGTTTTGGCAAATTTGGCATATAAGTGTTCGTAGAATTACATTATTATAAAGATAGATTGTGATTAGAGCAAGCCATAAATCAGAGTACTTTGTGAATGTCTTGACCTGACGTTTTTTTAACTTGATGCAATTGTGAAGTGTTGTATACATGTACATGTACATTAAGCCAAAAAAACAAAACCAAACTCTGTTTCTTGTTATAAAATCCAAAATATTGTTTACATGTGAAAAGCAGTGTTCCTTTCTGATATACACTTCCTCTAATTTAGTCGTGGGACCCTACGCCAAACGTATCTTTTGCCAAGAGCTAGGAGCGCCAGCAGACTCATGCCTGAACTGTGACCCCAAAGAAGACTTTGGAGGTCACCATCCTGACCCCAACTTGACCTATGCTGCTGACCTGGTGAACCTGATGAAGAAAGGCGTCCACGGCTTTGGAGCAGCATTTGATGGGGATGGGGTATGTGGGGTGTATTATGTTCAGTTGCAGTGTTCAGGTTTTTCAAGGTAAATGTTTCCAAACGCATAATCTATCAGTGCTAGTTTAACTTATCCTGCAGCCTCATGTGATCTAGATAAATAAAGAACTTTAAGGATAACTGTCTTTAATCTCAAGATGTCCTGTCATCAATTTCTTCATTCTTTGAGAAGACCGAGGACTTCAGCAAAGTGCTTGAGACATATAACCCAAACCTAGAGCTACCATGTACATATAGGCTTTTCCTACAGAGTAGGAGGACCTACATAACCTAACTGCAGAGGCATGAAATACGTCATTTTTGTCAAATCTCTTGTGTTTTTATTTCCCTGTATTTAACCAGGACCGTAATATGATTCTTGGTAAGAATGGCTTTTTTGTGACACCCAGCGATTCGATCGCCGTCATCGCCGCCAATGCCAAGTGCATCCCCTACTTCAAGAAGACAGGGGTGAAGGGTCTGGCCCGCAGCATGCCCACCAGCGGAGCTCTGGACAGGTATGGCTTGTAAATGTTGTAGAAGATGCTGAAATTTTGTCCACATTCAGATGAAAATTAGGCAGACATGATTTCTATCACACACACACATGATCCAGTGCTTGCATGTGATATATCTCTGGCACTGGAGTTCTTACGAGTGTTCAAACACTGCTGTCCATTTTTACCCGAAGAAGTGTCATTCCGCTGTGTGTGAGAGAGCCAGAAGCTCTGACCTTTTGTGTTGTACTCTTGTGTAATTTTTGATAAATGTTGATTTCACATACTGCTTGTTTGATATCACAGATGAAACTTTTCGGACTTAATTCTGACTTCTTGAATTTTAACAACTAAAATTGTGATTTTAAAGATTTTTTACAACCAAATGTTATTGTTTCAAAGGGAAAATTTCGGCCCAAAGTCCAAACAAGATAAAATCGGCTATGCATAAATAGTCATGGCAAGCATAGTTTTAGTCTCTTCTACCAACAGTATGTGCCGTGTTTCTACAGCAGCAGCACATAGGCCAACACTGATAGGTGCCTTTTCTGGCTGGGTTGAAGGTTAAGAATTGACCTTTGACATGAAAGAACTCCTCTACACGGAACAGTATGACACTGCGGATCTTGCATGCGGGGAACGATTCCAGTTAAATCAGTGTAAACATAGTTTCATCCTGGTTAAAAGAGATGCACCTAATTTACTGACCAGCCGATCCGTTACCTTTCACCACTAGGGTGGCTAAGGCTGAAAGTTTGGAGTTCTTTGAGGTGCCAACCGGCTGGAAGTTCTTCGGCAACCTGATGGACGCCGACCGCCTCTCACTGTGCGGGGAGGAGAGCTTTGGAACAGGGAGCGACCACATCAGGGAGAAGGACGGCCTGTGGGCGGTGCTAGCCTGGCTGTCAATCATGGCTGCCAGGCAACAGAGCGTGGAGGAGGTCTTGAGGGATCACTGGGAAAAATATGGCCGTAATTTCTTCACCAGGTGAAGCCTTTTTTAGTCATTCTTAAGGTCACTTTTAATACTCACGTTGCAGATGTGCAAGATTTGGAGTTGTCAACTTAGTGAATTTATTGTCATATTCGCACTTAATTCATGGGAATCATGAACTGGCCTTGTCAGTCAGTGTTGTAGTTTTTGTTTTGTTTTCGTAAAGGATCCAGTAGATTATTCCCTGACTCAAGTAATTTTTAAGCGGTGAACAGCATCATGACTTTCGAAATACAACTAGATTGTCTCCAGAACTTCATTCAGTTATCAGTATGAATTATAAGCATTAGTGATGATTAGAGTTGATTCAGGGTACAAGACCAAGACCTTGCCCCAACTATTGATTATACTGTATATTGTTTGCTGGTCAGATTGTGTTTGCCACTTGTACATGATTTTCAAACTTGAATGCATCAAATGCGTTTCCATTCCTCTCTCTAGGTATGACTATGAGAATGTCGAGTCTGAACCAGCACAGCAGATGATGGCAAATCTACGTAACCTGGTGGACACCGACAAAGTGGGGATGTTTATTGGCCGCGAGTTTGCGGAGGGGAACAAGACATACAAAGTGTCCAAGGCGGACGACTTTGAGTACACAGATCCCATTGACAAATCCTTGTCCAAGAACCAGGTATTACTCAACAGAATTGACCGTGCCAATTAGTAACGATGGTGGGTACTATTGCCCAATACCCCAGTCCCACCTGTCGCATAACTCACTAATGAATGATATCATGATTACAATTATTTCAGGCCTTACACCAAAATATCACCCACAAGGGTTAGGTGAGTGAATGTCTCACTGGTCTAGACAGTGATTTCTTTACTTCCTAACATAGTGGTTTACCACCCTGTAAGATTTTACACAATTTACCAGTAATATATTGCAGTGAATCACAGATTCTGAAGGTTTCTGGGTTTTTTTTAGCTTACTACATAACTTAAGGAGTATTGCTCCTTGAATGTACTTTCTCTTCTCAAGACTTGGCTGCTGGCAGGTTTTTTACTGATTAGCAAGCTCAACCCTAACATTTCCTTCATCCTCCAACATGTGAGGGGTTGAGGACTGTGGGGTCAATGTTCATCCATCTAGTGCTTTCTATGTGTTGATTGTCTTCATTGCTTGTGTTTCGTTCGCAGGGGATCCGCATCATCTTCCAAGATGGCTCGCGCGTTATCTTCCGGCTCAGTGGCACGGGCAGCTCAGGTGCCACGGTGCGCATGTACATCGACAGCTACGAGTCCGACAGCGCCAAGTTCTCCCTGGATGCCCAGACTGTCCTGCAGCCGCTGGTCAAGATTGCTCTCGGTATCTCGCAGCTACGAGAGCTGACTGGCCGCCTAGAGCCAACCGTCATCACATAAAATACCAACTCTAATTTTGTTTCTAAGAGACACCCTCGTTTTTCAGGAGCAAATAGTGCATTGGAAAGAAAATATGGTTTTGGATCTCAGGGCCTTAGGCACATTTAACTGGGTACTCCACATATTTAAAGTGGGTTGTACATGTAGCTTTCACTAACAGTAGAACAAGCAAACAGGAAAGTTTCACTAAGAAGTCACTGGGGAGAGACCAGTTTCAAACACATTATCAGAAAAATTCAACATCAACACCAAACTGTACACTTTTTCAGGTAGGCTCGGCAGTTTTCATGTTTTTTGGGCACGTAGGCTGAAGTTGAAGTTTGGCTTGAGTATGAACAGCGATATGTGTTTGCTGGTAGGGTTTCCCCACTGTACATTTATTTGTGTGTACGTGATACCACAGAGTGGATGTCACACTGAGAGTCACCCCCATGCATGTGCATGATGTAGACCGTCAAGGCTTCTGTGAGGTCCACTGTACTGTGAACCACACTCCTCTTGGCAGGTGTTGTCATTTGAATTAACCGGTCTCTGTGTGGGCACATTTACTCGGTAATCCATTACATTTATATGAAATATGTCTGATCACAGACTGGCTTTGGAGGTCATGCCCTTATGTTTGCCCAAAAAAGTTTATTTACAAAATGGAATTGATCGTCGTCTTGTTTCTTTAGCAGATGAAAGTTCTCATCTGAAAGGCTCACTGTTGGTTGTTGCAAGAGGGAAATGTAATAGATATTGTCATTGATGTGTGTATTGAGATATGCTTTGTGCGAGGTGATTTTCAATGAGCAGCGCTAGACAGGATCCGTCAGAATGCCAAGATTTACAGTTGAGTGATGGTTATGCCTTGTGAGACATACAGTACTTTAAAGGATTTTACTTCAGTTAAAATTTAAGGATCTACCCAAAGAATGTCAGAAGATGGAGTGATCAATGTTTCTTTTTATCTTCCAAAAATGCTTTTAAATTATTACAGTGCATGTGAATAGGTTGCACTTGGAGGGTATTTAGCATGGTTTGAATTTTTTTAGAGTACTAACATCAAACTTGATAAAGGGAAAAATTGGTACACAGGAGCTTGCCAACTTGGCCATTGCCAAGTCAGTAGCTGGACCACTGCCGAGTAAGTAATCGGGCCACTGCGGCAAGATGAGTGCAATGTGGATTGTCTAGTCAGCTTTTAATAGTGTGGGATACCTCTGAAATTATTTGCAGGTTTGACAAATTAGCTCAAAGTATTTTTTTAGTTTAAGTCTGTATTATTTCCTCTGTGACCAGACGTTAATAGAATTGTACCTACATGCATTTCGGATTCTACTAATATGCTGATTTGAATTATGGAGTGAAATTCTTAAAAGGTATTGCAATAAAAACAAACACTGAAATCTTTCTTGCATTTCATGCAACTTTGAGTCATTTATAACACAAGTGGGTCTTCTTGGTTAAACATGCAAGCAAACATGCTCTTTAAATTAACTGAAAATAGAATACTGCATTGTGATAAGATAAGACACGTATGAATGATAAAAAGTACCAGCACAGTTTCAAATGGTCGTGAACTACATGTAACAAATGTAATGTTTTTTCGAAGATGGAAGAGATAGATAAGACCGTGGCTAGAGAAGTTGTCATTGAGGTGCGGGCTTTTGTTTCCCATAGACAAGCATAAACAGACCTTTTATTAAGAATCACATCCCCTGTGTCGATCCCTCTTTCTAGTTGAAATAAATACTTCCATTCAAGGTTTTTTCTCTCTTTTGCCTTGGTCCTTTGCTTTCACTCACACGGATTAACCATTTTACACTTTGTATAATCCAGTACCCAACACCTTATTAAATCAGGTGCTTCTTTCCAAGCACAGGCAAGTTTAAAAAGCCACTATACGGTTATTGAAAGAAAAGAAGTATAAATATCTTTTACACTCTCCATTTAGCAGCAATCAGTTTCAGTGAAAAAGGAGTCGCGTTTGACACTGGCTGGTATGTCGCAGAGATTTGCACGTTTCACGGCAAGGAGCTGGATGGGATCGGTCACAGGGCTAGTGACAACGGTCCGCTGTTCTCTCCACCATAGTTTTTTCGCCGGTGAATCCGAGAAGCTTGCCCCTCTGTGCAGGTGGCGTCTGGAAGTATTCAATCTGCTCCGGGGAGTACCGCTCCCGGACCTCAATGCAGTCTCTGTACTTGTTCTCCATCCAGTTGTCGTTGAACTGGTCCAGGAGGTCCTTTAAGGCTTCGTCCGTCTTGATCACGTCTGGGGGATCCTGCTGCACCAGGGGCAGCTGTACCCCGGGGAAGATCAGGACACCACGGAATGCAAACCATCCTCCGTATTTTGGGTGGATGCTGACACCAAATATTTTCTGCATGCAATCACAAACAGAGACTAGATCCGTTCCTTTCTGCCATTACCGCATCTTTGTATAAGTCAATCTTAAAAAAAAACCCACTTTTGCTGATAATTCTGTTTTCTGGCAATTGCCTTTTTCTTTCTAATTCGTTGTCATGGACGACTGTTTGGAAAGAAGAGACTTGCGGTAGAAAATTTCAGAAAGGCTTAACTGATCGAATGGTAGTGCTGACCGACTGATTGCCCCCAACAGTATCAAAAGTCTAGATTTGGAGAAATATGGTTATCCGTGCATTAGCCATCAATTGCGGAACATGCTAATTTTTTAAGACTTGAATGCAAAGAATAGAAACATTTCAACAGCCGCATCTGTATTTCAAATCCAGTGAGTTTCCCCCGATCCCTTTAAACATCTTCAAGCAATTTCTTATCTTCTTGCAGTTGTTTCAAAATATTATTTCTAGCTGGCACAAATTCTCTATGATCTTTTATAATAAAGCTTGACTAAAACACGTGAAAATTTGGCATTGTCGTGTGTCTGACTTCCATGACCAACACTCATCGATGACGATGATGTCAACATTTTAGAATGTCCTTCACCTTTCTTGCTTACGAAACTCAATACATGTACAAAAAACTGTGCCAACCTGGCATTTCACCCATGATGACACAAATAACTTGATTCTGCTAGCGTATTGTTGATATACACCAAACAGCCGTGGCACGTGCTACGGCGTACACTGTTGGGCCAACCTATCCAACTGTGTCACCATTGCTGGATATGTCCAAACCACGGCTGGACAGGACAAATGCTACAGTTGTAGCACATCAGCGCTGCTAGATAATTTACATTACCTTATCTCCCCACGGATCGTGCTTCATATTGGATCTTTGGTAGTAATACGCTGCTCCGGACACATGGCCAACCGTCTGTACAAGGATCTTTGGTCTCCTGTTTGGATGTAGCTCATAGTCTTGGATGGTCTCAATCATGTAATCTGGAAGACTCTGCAAAAACAAAGACAACAGCAACATAAATATATTGTACACTATCCAATCTTTAGCATATTAAACAAGTCAATCTTGAACAAATTATTCATGAATGTTAGAACATTTTTTAAATGAGTGGATTTGGTTCAGACTTCGGTTTTGCTGGTGCCAGCTGTTTTGAAGCAGTGTTTGAAACCACATATATGAGCTCTGACTGGAACCAGTGAAACTGACGTCTAATCTGAATCCACTCGTTTTGAAAATGCCCATAGTTTAACAATTTGTCCGATGCTCAAGTTAAATTTGAATCCAAGTTTTTCTGATGCCCTTTAGTGGTAAGTCATAAATAATGCAAGTGTAGCAGGTTTGGGCCAATGAACCTGACTTTAGCCTGACATGTCTTTGATGTTTCACGATGCAACAAATGTTTAAGTTGAGAGACCTCAAACTGACATGTTGACACGAGGAACAATGGACAGACCCACCTCTTTCAGACGATTGTACTGCTGTGCCACACAATCATCTATAGGGTCCCTGCTCGTCAAAGCTGTGAGTGATCTTACATATGGCATGAAGGTCTTCTCAAACATACACGGAGTGCTCAGAACACAAAATGCAAGTGTATCATCATGATAAGCCAAGTGGAAAGCAGACTGAACCCTATCGTTGTACCAACCGATCTGTGCATACCAAGAGCAATGAAAACAAAAACAAAAAAAGAAATGCGTAGTAATTGGTAATGTGTGTGAATTAGAAAAAATTGTTACCAAGAATCTTTTCCCCAACATTATGACACTTTCTCAGTTCCAGTCAGAGATTTTTCAAGTCAGCAAGCTAAGCATGTTTGGTACAAATGGTTTGTGGTCACTGTCGGGCATGATCGGTCAACATGCGTGATCATGGTGATCCGCTAATCATGTCAGTTACAGCATGATCTTTTCTGCATACCTGTGTTGGGTGTGATTAGTCAATCAGCATGATCACTAATGACAGACTTGCTACTGTGACTGGGAAAAAGGACACGCTATGGGGGAACTCGCAAAACAACAAAAGTCTCTAACTAAACCAAGGATCTTTGAGGGAAAGGTCGGAGGAAACTGAATTAATAGGGACTCAGACACCAATATTTGACTTTAAAAAAAAGGACAAAAAGAATGATGGACAAAAAAAAGATGCAAAACCCACAAGGACTGAAAAGACTTAACACCAAACGACCAAAACTTTAAAAGGAATTAAACCAACACAGTGTGTAATATGGATGTTACGCCCCAACCATAGCATAAGTCCCAACTATAGTTACGCCCGTCCCAACTAGAGTGCTACAGTTGGGCCGGCCCAACTACAGGAGAGAGGTTCTGTGCCCAGCATGTGCCAAAGTCATATTGTTTACAAATGTCACGTCATCGGTCATAGGCCTAGCCCCCCTACTCATAGGATAGATGAACAGATGAAGTGCCACTGTGAGACACATTAACTTGGATAATGTTGAGACATTTCCCACAGACATTAGTCAACAATAGTTGAGCCAGCCCAACTGCAGCACTACAGTTGGGACTGTCCCAACTATAGTCGGGACTTAATGCTATAGTTGGGGCATAATATGGACCTTAAGAGTTACATGTATACATGTGTGGATCAAATGAGAGTGCAGATCGACTGATCGCACCCAACAGTAGATCTCCCTTGAAATGTAACTTCAGCTTGATATCACTTTTCTTCCTCATGTTCCTAATTCACCATGGTTTAATCAAAGGCAAAAATGCTTGCCGATCATCAATGATCAAACCATGGAGGTACCTCCACGATCAAACGGTATGGCATGTATGGTAAGGTAGCCATGGTAAAATCATTTTAAAAAAATTCAAAAAAGTTTCCAGTTAACGACTGGCATGACAGTTCAAGTTCTTACAATCACATTACTTTGAAAGGGTGAATTTCGAATCCTGCCGGTTCCAGCACTGTCTCCACTGATTTCTGTAACAGTTCAAGTGCCATAATTTAATGACTCATTATTTCATAACATGACGCGATATACTGATCAGTGCTTGTCCACATCCGCACACGTGCACTATCGATCACGACCGTCCACTGACTAGATCTCTACACATATCATATCACAACGTGACATGCACTTTCATTGTTAAGAGGTCAATGCAAACAGCGCCCTCCATCTAGCGCTTAACAAGTTTACAGCACGGTGACTGACCGCTGACAGATCTCTGCCACGTGACTGATGAAATATCACATGATTGATCTATCACATGAACTACAAAAGCTATCACATGACGCGAATCATTATAAACTGGGCCGAACGCCGGGCGTTTGCCATTCTGTCAACGCGTCGGTGATGAGTGCATATTCAGTTGATTTCGTCTGTTGAAAAAAAAAAACTGATTTCTTTTTGTTGGCAAACATGATGGGATATCGGTCCACCGTTGCTGTTTTGTTAGTTGTCTTTGCGACCCAATCGGCTCGTGGGATGTCATGCACGTTTCCACCAGAATTGTGGTGCAGTTCTTCAGAAATTGCTGAATCGTGCCATGTGAGTTTGAAGTGTACCAATTTTTGATACATTGGAAAAATCTAAGAATGTGTTATCTGCTTGTAAGCGGTCATAACGGAGTTTTATTTTGTAACAAGTTGTTTTAAGTACCAATTACTTGTCAATTGAATTTTATGCAAAGGTACTGAGGTGCGCATTTCCATCTGTCATGAGCATTCAGTACTTGAGTTACGCAAACTAGCTAGGAATGGATATGGTTCAAATGTAGTCCAAGTAACCTGGACCCTACAAATCGCATTTTTTAACATTGGGATATGGTCGGGTCCAAATACGTTCCATAGGCTTTGGCTTCCATTAATTCATTTCTGTCAAAATGGCATGTAACCCCAGTCACTTAAAATCCTCTGAATTCACCTCTAAAACTGTCCTTAAAATGCCTAATGTGCCCGTATATGGATTAAGTGAGAATTGGAGATTCCAATAATGATAATATGGTTTACTTAAATATGGGAATAAAAGAACGATTCCCCTTCAGATTGGAAATGCTCTTGTAGACGAGTTCGAAGACACCATCTTTCCTCAAACAGCAATTTGAACTATATGTTGATGTCCTGGAGACAACGTCAGGGCGCGCCAGCCTAGCGGACCATTCACAGAAAGCATGCTGTGTTGGCACAGTGCTAAGTTTGGTGGCTGTGACCATATCGAAGCTGTACATTGTTTATTGCGGCCCTCAAAAATCAGTTGTCAGCACTTCGTGTGCCGACATGGCATGCTTTTTGTGAATGGTCCACTAGGTTGGCGCATTGTGATGTCATCTCCAGGTCATTAACATACAGTTTAAATCTCTATTTGAACAGGAGGGTGACATTGCGCTCGACGATAAGACCGTTTGAAAGGGGACATTTTTCTTTTCTTCCCAAGTGTGAGTAAACCTTATCATCATTATTGGAATTTCCAATTCTCACTTGATTCTAAGCCGGGTACATTAGACAGTTTAAGGTAGGACTGTTTGGGAGGTGAATTCGGAAAATTTTGATTTGGGGTACAGGCTTTTTTGAGTGAAATGAATTAATTGAAGCAAAAGCCTATGGAAGATACATGGACCATACTATCGACCGACCATGTCCAAATGTTAAAAAAGGCAATTTTTAGGGTCCAAGTTAATCAGACTAGTTCGAATGTAATTGAAACAGCATGACTGTGAAATCTTTGTTTAAGTTCACTTGGAGCATAAAGTTAATCATATGGAAGAATTGTACATGGAGATGTATAGAGAATCTTTGTGCGTGTTGATCTCAAATTAAATCCAGTGTTTTGTTTGGAAGAAGCTTTGGAAGAAAGGTCTGAATTGTAACCAAATTATGGAAAATTGTTTGTTTCTAGATTACCATTTAAAAATGTCTCTCTGTTTTGGTTTTTTTTCATTTGTGTGTTTTAAAGATTTATTATCTTTTAGCTATCATATGAAAGAGGAGTAGTCTGTAAAGTAGAATGCCACTTGTTTTTTTTTTAATGTGTTTGTGTTGGACTTTGTGTAGTCAACTCCTGATAACCACATGTGTCACTGTTTACATTACATCACTATCATGGCTATTAGAGAACAAAGCAATTTATGGATATGTTCTTACTGTTTACTTTACCATTTTCAGGTCGTTAAGCAATGTTCAGAATGGCAATCTCCAGTCAAAGATGCCCCAAAGGTTAACTTCACCCTGTACTATGAGTCGTATTGCCCAGACTGCCAGTTGTTCATCAGTGGCCAACTCCATGATGCATACATGGCTGTCAGTGAAATCATGAACCTGACCATGGTTCCGTATGGAAATGCAGAGGTGTGCTCTATGTTTAAAAAGCCTTGTCCCTTTTGGAAAAGGCACCAGAGTTTATCTTCTTCTCTTCCGCCAAACCTTCAAAGGCAAATCAAATTCAAAGGCATGCTTGCATAATCATGTTGCATTATCAGTCAATTCTTTATTGCTCACCCTGTTTTTTAGGATCATCTGCCATATTCATGAAGTAAAAAGAAAATGCAATTGTTTGGAAAGGTCAAACAGCAAGATTGAGCATTCGTGCAGAGATTGCACAATCACACCAGTGAGGCACATCGACTGAGCAGGCCCAACAGAAGGTCTCAGTTTCCCTTGCCAAAAGGTGCTTAGTGATAACCTGAATCCCATTGCATAGAGCTAAGCAAAACAAAAAAGTCAGTCACAAGCTATATGCAAACCATGACATTTGCTAAGCAGATGTTTTCAGCATTTTGTGAGCTTAGCTCGGTGCTGTGTGACACAGATCCTTGTTGTTAGCTGTCACCCATTTCACAAATACTTACATCATTCCTGGCTCTTCACATTTCAGGAGAAAAGGGAGGGCTCTAAATATGTCTTTCAGTGCCAGCATGGGCAGGAGGAATGCCGTGGCAATGTATTGGAGACATGCATCCTGCACTTTGCCCCCTTCCAAACTGCGTTCCAGACAATTTATTGCATGGAGGTTTCGCGGGACCCTGTTACCTATGCAAGGGAAGTAAGTAAAGTTGAATAAAGATAGGTTTACTAACCATGTTTTTTCTGCTGCCAGTTACTTGTGTAAAGTCCTTCATGGCAAGGAACAGATTCAGACAGCTAGTTTTGACTTAATGTTACGCTAATATCTTCTATGTGCTGTGGTTACACCACATACATGTATATTAATTTGTGTCAAAGTCAAATATTTGGGTACTGTTTTAAGTTTGTTACAATTGTATTTACAACCAATTGGAAAAGAGTGGATATTGGCCCACGTAGGTTTGATGTAATCAAAGTTTATTGAAAAGACAAAATGCCAGAGACTGGACTTGAAGAAAGACCTCAAATTGAACATTTTTGGCACAAATGCACTTGAGAAAAGTTACATTTACTTCTCTCAGGAGCACAAATACTGTACTCAATTGTAGAAAAGTTACATGTACTTCTCTCAGGAGCACAAATACTGTACTCAATTGTAGCATTTTAAAAAGTCAGTGCCCAAACTGTTTCAGTAAACCTACCACATGTGCCTTTACATGCTGTAAGAAGAAGTCCACTGTACTTTTTCAAAGGCAATAGTGCCACGGTTTGTAATATATGTTCAATGTTAAGAAAAACTTTGGGGGAAGCCAGTGACCTGAAAATTTGTGCCCTTCAATGACCATGTGCTTCCTGTTTATGCACTGAGCTTTGTACTCAGGAAAGGCGAAGGACAGTCTAAAATGCTGACATCATCATTGATGAGTGTTAGTCATGGAAGTGATATACATGACAATGCCAAATTTTCATATGGGTTTTGTGGGGTTTAATTGAGAGTCACGGAGAATCGGTGCCCTAAAAAATTTTATTGAAAGAATTGCAAGAAGATAATGGGACACTGCTTGAAGTCCTTGAACAGGATTGGAGGAAACTCACAGGATTGATGTACATGCAAGGCCATAGAAAGTGTTCTGTTCTTTGAGTTTGTTTTTTTTTCAAATAATATATTACAACTGCACAGCACCATTTTTAAAAACTGGCATTCGGTAGTTGACGGTTTTTTAAAAATTTGAATGGATAACCATATTTCTGGAACGAGACTCTTTTGATATTGTTGGGAACAATTAATCAGTTAGTCCTGATGAAATCTTTGACTGGAAGCCCCTTTTTCTAAACAATCTCCCACAGCAACTTATTAGAAAGAGGAGACAATTGGCTGAGTAACCTCATAAATCCGTGTATTTGCTCGGGCCTTTAGAAATGAGACCAAGGTCCTCTTTGCAACATAGAAACTTTGACATGGAGCTGTTTCTGCATTTTCAATTTCCACGAAGTGTATGGAGAAGATGAAGGTGAATCCAGAGCAGGTGTTTGCATGTGCTAATGGCTCCCTAGGGAATGCATTGGAGCATCAGATGGCCCTCAAGACAGATGCACTGAAGCCCCCTCATCAGTATGTGCCGTGGGTCACACTCAATGGAGTAAGTTCTGTGTTTGTTTTAATTCATGTTGTAGTTTTTGATGAAATTGGGCATTTGGCTGCACTTGCTAATTCAGCGATATCTGTCTTTGAATTTTCATCCGTGAAAAAAGGGAACTTGAATTAAGGCAGATCAGCTTCAGTTGCTTCAGAAATACTGCAGCTTTTTAATGTTGATGAATTCACAATGGTTGTTGCAAGATACCTGGAGGATTGAAAGGTGAAAAAAACTACTCGGAAAAAAAGTGACTGAGGACGATCCCCCAAGTCACATTGTATTATCAACATGTAATTTAAGACCTTTGAGTTGTTTTTATCTGTCTGTTATTACAGACTATTGCTTTCAATTTTAGCTGATGTCATTTGCCTAGTCAACAAAGTTACTATCTTCAGTCAGCATGTAGCTGTGTTTCCACTTCCCTACCCATATTTCCCATTGTTCTTCATGACTGTGGTTTCCATTTATCACATGACATTTGTTAACAATTCCACCAACACTTTTCACCTTGTTTTCCTGAGAACTGTTTTGGCCGTTTAACTGACTTGCAATTGTCTTGCCAAGTTGAACCTATCCTTTTCGTCCCTTGGCCACAAAGGGTGACCATCTTAATTCCTTCTTTGAACCAAAGTCTGGAGGTTGTTTTTTTTCATTTTATCTTCAATCCCCAGGTGCACACAGAGAAAATTCAAAACGAAGCAGAAATGAACCTGAAGAAGTTGATCTGTGACACATACCAAGGAGCTAAGAAACCACCAGCCTGCTCCCAGGACAAGCCCAAACTCAGATCTCGCATGAGGGAGTAGAAAACTTCTAGCCATGGGAGTTGCTGGAGAGGGGAAAAGGGGACCACTTGAAAAAAAATAAAGAAAAATAAGAAAGGAAAAAAAATAGAAATTAAAAAAGATTTCCAAAACCCTAAAATTGACCCCTTTCTAGTGTTGCGTTTTAGCATTTCGTTGCGAATGAGTGCTTTGCCCCCCCCCCAAAAAAAAATTCTTACCCCCTGGGAAAAAAGTTTAGCCCCCACCTGGAAAAATATTATGATGTCCATACATTCATTAATAGGATAGTTACTGTTGAAGAATCTCAGAGATATCAAGGCAACCTCTGTTTTTTAAGATGTTAGACACCAACCATATCATCTGTCCCAACTACACCCATCTGCCCAACTGTCCTAACTATAATTTAGACATGATATGTTTAGATTCTCCCATTTTGGACAATCCCAACTTATGTGTTGTAGCAGTTGGGCAAACTCAACAACACTACCTCTGGGATGGTCCTAACTAATGGTTGGATTGATTCCATGATTGGGAATAACAGCAGGCACTGTGAGAGAAGCTTTTTACATTCCAATTTGAAATTGCAGTGGCAAGAATGGAATACATGTATGTATTATGTAAATGAGTTTTCAACTTTTGTTATGTGTTTTCATTTTTCATGTTTTTCCCCCTAATCCCCAATTTAAAACCAAATGAAAATTGACAGTTCTGTAAGGATATTCCATACGCAGTTGTTTATCTAAGCTTTTTATAAATTGGAGAGCAGGACATTCAGTACTGTTGTCACCATGGAAATGAGCTTTGAATATAACGTTGGGAACAAATTGACATTTCTAATTCTCTTCATTCAAGGAAATTAATTGAGTCTAATTGAGTTCTTTTCTTTTATAAACTGAAAACTTTAATCCTATACCTTCAGGGATATAATTGAGTCTGATTGAGTTTTTTTCTTTTGTAAACTGAATTTTTCAATCCTGTACATTCAGGGAAATAAATATCTTGCATAGTACATTTTGATACTTTTTACAGGTGATTGCAAACTGCCATTGGATTTAGCAATTTTTTGCTGTTAAGCTTTTTTAAAATCTAAATATGATAACAACTACAGTTATTTGTAACATATTTGTGCTTTGGCCATTCTTTGTTCCTACAGATTTCATATATCAGCTTCAAGTTCTTTCATTTCATTCCCCATCCTGCAACCGTAATTTCGCTATCTGGTTACAAGGAATTTTGCCATAAGTAAATCTGTAGATCTCATTGCACAGTACCATTCAGCAGTGATTTTGTGTTTTTTTTAATTCATCTGATATATTTAGTCAGTGAATTCAATAACGGCTGTTTTATTAACGTTGAAAATTTCAAATTACTGAAAAAAATGTACGTTTTAATGGTGTGTAACCAACAGCCTGTTGAACAGGAGAGCCTACCGGAAAAAGTATAAATGGCTTAATAATTTACTGAAGTTAATACGTAATCAACTATCCATTATCAATTATCACTTTAGTCAACTGTGCAACTTCTATATTGGTTTGATTATTTCTAGTATATATGTCATAAAAGTATTTTTTCCTGGTAACTGAAGTGCTTTGAATATAACCGATACGATCTGAAATAACATAATTGATTTAAACCCAGACGAAAGTTAGATACATGTCGTTTGTTCGATTATGGATTGTGTTGAGATAGCCTGCTTTTCTTCAGAATTAAAAAGCACATTGGATTAGAGCTAGACAACATGCTTCACGATAAACTTCGTGTCAATTTACCCTTTTCCTGAGTGGATGACTTGTATCCACCCTGCAACAAATGTAACACCGTTCTATCGAGTATCCCGCAGCAGTGACCGCTCTGTCTGTCAAATTTCAGGGCCGGATTGCGTATTCCGTAAAGCCTACATGTCACCGGCGCGGCGGCGCAACCGGGGGAGGGAGGGCGTTACCCCTACCTTTGAAAAGGTAGTAAACTGTTACCCCCCCGCCACACTTCACAGGCCTGCTAGCCGTTGAAGGTACATTGCAACTTCATAATTGTTTTCAGTCTAATGGCCGGGGCTCCCCCCCCACCTTTAAAACCGTTCCGCCGCAGTTGATACATGTCCTAAGATCATCCCTGCAAGTTGAAGCCCATATGGAACGCCTGATATAGATCGAAACATTTTCTGACATTGGTTGCTGTGTTGCATATTCTTTTAGACTGATCTAAGTTTTTGAGTCGTTTTCAAATTCAGTACAGATTGTGGCTCAAAACGCTCTCCAAATACATGTACAAGTACTTGAACTAAACAACTTCATTGCCAAAGAGTAATGGAGCGGTTAACTACCGGGTTTTTACGCGTAATTGACGGTGAAAGCACAGGCACGAACGCAGATATCTTTTTAAAATTCATCTCAAATACTTTTTAAATATCAGTTGTCATGAAAATAAGCTGAACTGTCGTGGTAATTATTAAGAATCATTTATTGCCTTTTAAAGCAAACCCTTTCTGTTTGCATTTATTATCTGCGACGGCTATCAAGCAACTACGCCACTAGCCAGCCGATGACAATTACCTGTTTGGAACTTGCATCCCAGAGCTGACTGTCTTGTAATTAAAAGGCCATTTTGTTTGTTCTGAAGCGGTTTATAGATCACTGTCATTTTACAACTTGTATGGGCGGCAGAAATATCACCCGTTTGATTGGATTTCGAGTTTTACCTCAAATTCGTTCAAAATGGATATTTGTCCCATTAGGCCTAATTTTAAACAGGGTTGTATTTTCAGTTAGTATTTAGTAGTACATATATTATTATTTCCACAAAAATGAATTAAAGAAAAGCAAGCTCAACAATTCCCAATAAGTGGAAATAGTAGGAATGTCAAAAAAAGTTCTAGTAACTTATTTCTATTGTGGTCACAGTTGGTAAGAAAAATTAACCTGAGTATATAAGTGCATTAAAATACAGAAAAAAATCTCTCCAAAAATTGTAAAAGCCTTCAAAAATATAACGGAGACGATCAAGAGACTATGTATATATACCATATAGCAGAGACTATGCATGAAGAAATGATATCAAACACTTGCAGGCCAGTCAATCATAGCAGCCACACATTGCCATGCTAATTCTCTATTCCAGCATTTTCTTGTGATTTGCGGATTGCATATGCTTTGTTGAACAAAGGAAAGGAAGCGCTATCCTGCGATGCATGGTCATTTTTCGAAACTGCTATTTGCCGGGCTTCAGGATTGTTTTGAGCGGGGGGGATCTCGGAAGAGAAGTATCCTTAAACATAGTCATCAGTAAGGCGGGTAACAACAGAAAGAAAACTGACACATGAGGAAATGGGCTTTAATTTAATGTGTGTCTAGAACAACCGAGAAACATTTTTTGGATTTTTTTAATTGAGGGTATTTATCATGTCGTCTGTGGCAGCATATTTGCAAGGGGGGTCAAGCAATACAGACGTGGCCTTAAATTACGGCTGCGGCTCGTAAAGTACATGTACGTGCACTAATAATGGAAGCCCTTCCCATAGACTGGTGCAAGAATTTCCTGCTGAATTAACCTGAAGCCAGCTGACTTAGCTAGACATGTATACATATCCCTCGTGGCTGCAGAATGACATGTGGGCCGTTTTCCAATACTCGACTCGGGCTCCATCTCAGGCTTCAACTGTTTTTTTACTTCCTGACTTTGAGGTTATAAGTAAGTAAAAGTAAGTCTGATAGTGCCACAGAACGTCAAATAAGATTAAAAAGAGCCAAAAGTCACAGTACTTACTGTAAATTAAACGCTTCAGGCCCACAATTGGAGATTTGATTTCCTACACGGAGCCAGACGTGGAGACGAAGTTGAGTATTGGAAAACGGCCTTGGTACCTGCCTAAACATGGCGGCCGCCTGCAGACTCGCGTTTAGACGTGTCAAAAACATTTTATCAGCACCATCTGGTTGCAATGGTTACCGGCATTCAGCAGCTACACATTTGAAGGTGAAACTCTTTTACAAGTTTCCATGCAATAGACCTAGTTCCTTTAAAAGAGCCGCAGGTTCTGTGCAAAAAACTAACGTTATTTCGCATGGCATTCGTTAGTTACAGTTTGTGTGCATGAAGCCGTAGGTCTACCGGCCCAGTATTCGGACGGATTCACTTTTTGTTAACAGCGGTAATTAAAATGTTGTTCACATTGTACCCCTCCAACTGTGGGGCTCCTTTTGGTGTGTTCCAGGAAAGAGTTCTATACGGACGCCGTTTCACAACCCTGTGCACAACCCATAGGGGTAGTAGGCCCTATTTATGTCTTGTTAATAGGCCTAGACGTGCTAGAGGTGTTTTCTAGACACTGCTAGAAATTCTACAGTACAAGTTGCTGCAGTGTATTTTTACATATAGTATACTTTACTTTTTGATTTTTTTTAATGAACAACAGTAGCATGCATGTGCACGTGGATAATATGGGTCACTTACTTGCATGTAAGCTTTTCCCGCATCCCGGGGGGGGGGAGGGAGAGTGCAAAGCTTGCTTTTGCTATCCTTATGCCATCAGACCATGTTGCTTTTTAACCAGTTAACAGTCTGTGTGAAACAGATGGAGGCTTTGTCAGCACAGAACCAATTGTCAAGCAGCGCTATGAAATTGAACCTTGTTCAGGAGTGATTGTGCTCATATTCACACAAGTAACATGCTCCGACACGACCAGACATGCCAGAGAGGAAGGAACCCACAATTGCTCTGGGGATAGGCTACAGTATACTCGGCAGATATTACACACGGTGTATGGAACGTGATGTCATCACTCAGCACTGTTGCCATGACAATATGCACTGAATACCTTGCAGTGCAGCTCCAAGCCTCCTGCACTTAGTCCGTCATAATCCATCAACAATTGGTCACCTCAGGCCTTCTGGACTGAGTCCATCAAAATCCACCAAAAAGTATAAATAGATTTTTGCATGTCCACTTTCTCTTTTTTGTTTGGAAACTGGACATGTTCAGTAGTGAGCCCTATTAACCAGACTCTGTCTTTCCAGTCTTTGGACAGCAGTCAGGCATGCCTACTGCATTTTCTTGCATGTATTGTTCCAAATTTTCTAAAAGTAATATTTTCTTGTAAATTTTGCTGTCTGCACTCATCAGCCTGCAATTTGCTGTCTATCAACAACTTCTCCAGTGAGTGTGGAGTTCTATGACAGTGCAAATGAGGCAGTGAGCGATATCCCTGATGGATCTACCCTCCTAGTTGGAGGTAAGATAGACTGTACATGTCTGCATATACATCATGTATCACATGTGTATTAGCTCCTTGTTTGGTGTCAGTGTAAATCACAGCATTCTTGTACAGCATCTTTTGTTCTGCTGCCGTGTTTAATTTAGTATCCAGGAAGAATTCAATCATAGTTTTCAAGTGTCGCAAACACTTAGTTTTCCTTGGACAATGAACCCCCTTTCCTCAGTTGTGAAAAATCCTCTGAAAGTTAAGCATTAAACCCTCTTATAAACTTGTTTGTGACTATTAAAATTATTATCGTCCAATATGAAGTTCTTCCCAATTATTCCACGATTCCATATTCCAGTGATTATATGCATGCATTGAAGTAAAACACCATGTTCAGAGAAACATGTACATGTAGACTGTAAGCCCAACTTTTTTACTTGTTGGATTACGATCTTGCCAACTCCAAAGAATAAAAAAAGTAGCATTGATGAACAGAATTGCAGTGTTTTGAATAGACTGTACCTAATTTTTCCCAAGGCAATGTTTTGTATCAGCTAAGAAAATACAAGTTAATTTCTTTTCTTAATATACCAAAAACAGTTACTTTTTAAAAAATGCTTGAAGTTAGTCGCCTTTTGAAAAATGAACTTTAAAATTTTGTTTTTTAGTATTTTTCTCCCCTCCGATCCTACCAAGTTTTGTGCTCTGTTTGTAATCCAATAAATAAGAAAAAAAGGCTGGCCCAATAAGGCTTTGTTGGTTTCTTCAGTAGTTGGGCATGACGGGATGGACTTTCCAAAAACATTGAAGAGGTGATTTGATACCTGTTAAATGTTTTCAAACCATGGTTGTGCCTTGTTTATTCAACATAAAGAGTGCATTTCCATTTTTGTTATAGAGAGAAAAATATTCAACCACGAGTACAAATTCACCAGACCTACAACACTACCCACCGCTGTTTGTACACTTCTTTTTCACTTCTCATTTCCAGGCTTTGGTTTGTGTGGCATTCCAGAGAACCTCATCAATGGCTTGTTGAAATCCGGTGTGAAAGAAATCACAGCAGTTAGTAACAATGCTGGGTAAGATTCTAGTGCAGCATTACCGGTCCTCACAGTGAAATCTGATAATAGCGTTCTCTCACTTGGAACTCAGTTCCTACACACATACTTTTGGTATGGTTTTTTGTTTCATCTTGATAACTTGTGTAAAGTAGGGATTAAGGGAAAGCTGTGGAGATGTGTATATCCACTTTGAGAGCTGCACTGCACCCTCACCTGCAAAAGAAGGACAGGCTGGTGAGAAGTTTTCCAACTGGGTTCTTGCACGCATTTGGCACACAGGTGAAGACCATACATTCCAGAATGAATTCGTTCCGCGTACTCACCGTGCTCCGTGTCAAACGTGCATAAAGTTGCGCGCATACACGGTGCGTTCGTATCAAAGGGCAGTCATTTTCATTTAAAAACAAGCCCGCTTTTTTTTCCCGCTCGGAGTGGATAATGGACCTGTAGTCATAACCATTGAGGTTTAGTGTACTATCACATGGAGTGTTGTATTTTGCATGGTTCAAGTCAATCTATTTTTATTGAGTGTGCATGCATGTACTATTGATTTGGGGTTTTTGAACTGAAAAACAATATGTTAAATACTGCATTTACATTAACCCTAACAGTACCGGGCGTTGTTTGGCTTAGAGTACTCAGTACTACAAAATACTACGTAACACTCTGAGCCTGAAGGACCTAGCACTACAAATTACTATTTCTGGCTAGGTTTATTCCATTGTTATTCGTACAGAGAACAATGAAACCATGCATTCATAGTGCCACAGCACTGTATGGTACTTTGTCTTCTCTATTGTATTTTATGGCTTCAGAGAATAATAATGTCATGTCCTCTTACAAGCGACAGGGCTGAGTACTACATTTTACTACTAAGTAGTACTTTGTAGCATTCGGGACTGTTGGGGTTAAAACAGCGTTTTGCGTGTGCTGTATGCAGGCATCACAGGTCTTTGTCATTGACAAGGTTACAGGAAAAAAATAAAAGGAAATGCAGTTGTCAGAAAAATGATCACTTGCATTAGAATTGCGGCAAAGTATTTGTCTCACATGAATAGTCACATTTACTGGTGTGTTGGTGGACCACGGCAGTTCATGTACATGTCCCTGGTTGTTTGATCAGAGCTAAGCTTCTGCATTCAAGCACATTCTGTTTGACATTATTCTCCTTGCACAGTGTTGACGATTTTGGCCTGGGCCTGTTGCTGAAGACCAGGCAGATCAAGCGCATGGTGTCGTCCTACGTGGGGGAGAATGCCGAGTTTGAGAGGCAGTATCTGTCGGGGGAGTTGGAGGTGGAACTCACACCACAGGTAGAAAGCACACAGAGTTGAAAGTAAAGATTTCATGAAAATGGGGAAATCGCACAGACTGATTACAAAATATGATAGGGTTGGACACTCGCAAATTTATATGATGGACCAGAATCTGTATTTGAATCCGAAATTTACCCACATCACAATGAGAAATTATATAGACTCTTAAGGGGATCTTACTGAAAGGCAGAAGTAAGCCACACTGATTCAAAGATGTATGGATGCTTGGAGGTATAGTTTTATTTTCTTTTTGTGTTGTTATGTTCACCTCTAGGGTACGTTGGCCGAAAGGATTCGTGCTGGTGGGGCTGGTATCCCTGCATTTTACACCCCCACTGCCTATGGCACACTGGTACACTTGGGCGGGGCGCCAATCAAATATGGTGATGGGGGCAGTGTAGCGATAACCAGCGAACCTAGAGAGGTAGGCACTACTTGTTTTTTTTCTGCCAGACCATGAGTTTTTCTGAGGTGAAAGTTAATAATAACTCCAACTCTGTGGGCATTCTCACTGGGACACCCCTATACATACCTACTTCCAAAATCCAATGTCACCCAGCACTGATAGCGCACTCTTCATGCTGCAACCAAGTTGAGATATTCAAAGAAAATAGAGACACGTGCTGCAAGCCTGCAACCAAGTTGGTGTTAATCCAGTGTACTGAGTAACACAACAAAATCCACTGTTGCATTATGCTGCTAGTTACTGCCGCTAGCAAAGCTCTCATATAAGCACTAGATGTTGTATTTAAGGAGTGTTCACTTGAGAAAGCCCAATACAGTGGGACAAGCCCAAGTTTTTAATCACCTGTCAACTTGGCATTGTCTAGTTTTCCTTCTGTAGTGGGAAGTTTCCACAGGCTTTTTCCATGTTTCCTTGGTTAATGCAGGCCAGGCAGTTCAACGGGAGAGACTTCATCATGGAGAGGGCCATCACGGGTGACTTTGCCCTGGTCAAGGCCTGGAAGGCAGACAGGGCCGGCAACCTGGTCTTCAGGAAGACTGCCCGCAATTTCAACCCCCCCATGACCAAGGCAGCCAAAATCACTGTCGCTGAGGTAACCGAGTTCAGTGGCTCTTGGCTCAAATACTTAGTTACTCACCATCAAGCTTACACGCTACCCTCTTATGCAGCCTACATACATTGGATTTGGACCTCAATTTCAACTTTTCACTTCCAGTTTGACAAGATGTATTTGTGTCAAACAAAAAGTTCAGTTTGAATCGATTAATGAACTTTTGATCCTTCTTTTCTTATTTATTTCTTGTAGACATTGGAATATGCAGTGAAAATAGTTTAACAGTAGTGGCCATGTTTTACCCCTTTCCACCACTTTGTTTCCCCAAAAATACAGGTAGAGGAAATTGTCGATATTGGCAGCTTCGCACCTGAGGACATCCACATCCCTAGCATCTATGTGCACAGAGTCGTCAAATCGGAAAAACTAGAGAAGAGAATTGAGGTATTTCTACTATCCAGATTATTCAGTTATCTTCATCATAACCTCTAAATCCTGAGGCATTTTTTGCTAGTGGCTTTTCTGAATTGGCAATTTTGAACTCTGCGCAGTAAGCCCATTTCAGTTTATCTCCACAGGAATTCTTGTGGGGATCACCTCCAAGATCATCCACTTTGCAAGAAACTTGTGACACATTTGCTGTGCTTTTCCTTTAAAGAGGCCTGATGCCTCAAAGAGTAAAAGTGGGTCATCTCTACCTTCCTCAGTCCTGCAAAATACCCCACAACCTTTGCATGGATTTTGAAGGATCTGGGAGGCTGAGGATCAATCAAATTCAGACTATTACAAGTAGAGACGGGATCCATGCAAATGTCCATTCCCCCGTCTCAATCACAAGCCGTGACTACTGCTTATCAGCGGCCTTACGTTCTGCATCCATTCCCCGTGATGATGTCTTATTATCTTCCAGAGGTTAACACTGAGGCAGGATAACACAAGCCAGAAGGCCAAGTCGGATGCAGCGTTGATGCGAGAGCGCATCATCAGGAGGGCAGCTGTGGAATTCAAAGATGGCATGTACGGTATCCTTAATACTGACCAATCCAAACTCGTCAAAGTACCATGTGACCATATGGTTTTCCTGAGATCGGCCATCATTGCAGTAGGCAAGCGTTTTGGTTCACAGCCGTATGTCGTGCATTGCAAATTGGACAGTGAGGTTTATTTCATGTAAAATAACCATGAACTCTTTATCAAATAGCATATGGTCACCACTTTTGTGGTATGATTGTTGTATGTTGTATGTATGATTCCGATGCAGGACTAGGTGCTGCCTCTACCATTTTCTCATTCATGTACTTTTTGCCATTCATTGAGACTGTAAATGGCACTGTGTTTTTGACTACGATAACTATATGTTTAGTCACGTGGGTCAGTGAGAGCTCCCTATTGAATACCAAATACAACACCTGGAAGAGTCTTTACAGCATGCTGTAGGAGTGTGGCAAGCTATCTAGTCAACAACATCCCATTGGATCAACAAATGGCAAGAGCACCCCCTTGTCATGCATGTATGGCTTATTTACGATCATGGGTCTCTGCACTGGTGCTGGTTTGGTACAGTGCCAGCCCTACCTCTCTCTCTCTTGTGAGAAGGTGCTCATGAAGAGACAATAGCTAGGCCATGTTTAGAGAAAACGTCAGATGAGTGAAATACACGTCCTTTCTCTTGGCTTAAATGCACTTTGTGGGGGGGGAGAGGGGATCACCTGCAGGGCTTTTCTTGTTAAGCTTGGTTTCCTGTCAAAAGAATGGAAAGAAAGCTGATATGCAATTTGAGTACCTAGAATCTGAGTTGTTTTCTGCTGCCCTTAACTGGCAGTGATTTGCAGCCAATCTTGGCATAGGCATGCCCATGCTTGCCAGTAACTACATCCAGCCAGGGATCAGGGTTCATCTGCAGAGTGAGAACGGTGTACTGGGATTGGTAAGTCTAGTCACAGTGCCTTGTGTAGTTGCTGCTTTTGTAACTTACTGGTATTCATTGCAAACTGTGTAGTTGGTACATAAATGCACCCTTAAGGTCACGTTAGTAAATGTGAATTGTAAAGCTAAGGTGATACATGGCCTCTGTATACTGACTCCGCACCTCTGATAATTGCCATTCCAAGCCAATTTATTTGCTCCCCACAGGCAAAGGTTCGTAACGGGTAAATGTTGCCTTGTGGATTTCTCTTGGCATTTTCTCATTTGTGGATAACATGCACTTGGCCAACTCAAACAACTGTGAAATAAACAGCATGAGATGTGAAATGCAGGGATTGTGTTTTGGTCTACCGCCAGGGCCCCTTCCCAGAGAAGGGCAAGGAAGACCCTGACCTGATCAACGCCGGCAAGGAGACGGTAACAGTCCTCCCTGGTGCTTCGTACTTCTCCAGCGACGACTCCTTCGCCATGATCAGAGGGTAAACCGTGATCAACGTTGCTCATAATTTGCTAACCGGATTTCACACCATAACACGAAACACTTCGTAGATTAGAAAGCTAACTGATTTGCTGGGAGTTAAAATTGTTTTCCTCTTGTTAAGCCTGCTGCAGCAAGCTCAGGTACTGTAAAACAGAATATATTTAAATGTTGCCATCAATAGTTCATGTAATTAATCAATCAAATTTATTGGCTGAATGCTGCTTTTGCTGTCTCTTCTGTGCGGTTCCCCGTAAAATTCATTTAAAACCCCCATGCAATCGTTGGATATTGTTTTTCTGCTCATGGCCAAGAGCTGGTTGTTTTTTCCAAAGTACGGTGCTACACAAGAATGAATGAGTTGGTGAAAACTGTGGTCTTTTTACCTTATACCAACTCTAGGCTCGCAGTATAGTCATTGAGTCTGTAGTTATACATGGGCTATATTTCATGGTACACCTGATCCTTTTTTTGCCCTCATTTGATCTGTCATGCATTTTCCAACCAATGTCACCTGAAATGTTGGCCCTTTTAGCCTGGAAATCTCATTGTTTCACTTGTATTGTTTGTGCAGGGGCCACATCGACCTGACGATTCTTGGTGCTATGCAGGTGTCCAAGTATGGCGACCTGGCCAACTGGATGATACCAGTATGTCCACGTCCATAATATCTGTACCACAAGGCTCCTTGCGATAAACCGAGCATTGGTTAATGTTGGAGTCCTACAAGTCATCTCAGAACCAGACCGACAAATGAGATATACAGTGGAACACCGCTATAACGAACACGACGGGACCACACTAAATGTTCGGTACAGCGAAATTAACTGCCGAACGTTTCGTTGACATGTTGAATAGCTCCCTCTTTCGTCTAACTGAAGTCCACCCTCTTGTGATACTATGATTCACTGTTTTTGTGGTGTTTTGCCATTGCATTCACGTTTTGAGGTTTCTAGAAATGTATCTGTGAACTATTTTTGTTTTTTATTAAATCTTGAGTTACAAAATCGATATTTAGTTTATTTTAAAAGTAGTGAAGCTACCACTCAGGATCGGTCTCTGATGCATGCTGTGGCAAATCTCGGTTGATTTGCAGCTGCATAATGTTCAATAGGTTTTGTGCACAAAATATTGTGAGCCAAGGACGATGTTAAGTACAGCCGAATGTTCGGTATAGCGGTGTTCGGTATAGCGGCGTTCCACTGTATACATGCAGTCAACTCTGGTGAAGAGCGAATGAACTTTAAATGTATCTGAATTTACAAATTATAGGTAGAGGTTAAGAAAATTATTTAGAATGCAGCCCTTCCCCTTATCAAAGTTCTTCATCCCTCATAGTCCTCATTCCTTCATCTCTTCAAGGATTGAGGACTGTTACGATTAAAAAAAACCAATGACAATGTAGTATCAAGGGAAAATTGGCCTGCTCGAAATAATTTGTGCAAATAAGAACAGCCATACACAAGTAAAAATTTATGAATAAAAATACAGGATTGATTGTGTATGACTGACAGAGGGTGCATTCTCAACATCAATGTGTCACTTGCAGGGCAAGATGGTGAAGGGAATGGGTGGAGCCATGGACTTGGTCTCTGCTGCCCGCACCAAAGTCGTGGTGACCATGGAGCACCAAGCCAAAGGAGGCAAGCCCAAGATACTGGACTCCTGCACCTTGCCCCTGACTGGCACGCAGTGTGTGGACATGATTATCACGGAAATGGTGAGTGGGGGTCCAAGTTGTGGGCGGAGGTATCCCAGGGAGTGGGGTGGGAGGGGAAGAAGTTATTAGTTGAACAAGGGCAAGCCTAAGGTACTGGTCTCCCACATATTTGCCCCTGACTGGAACCTGATGTGTGGACATGATCATAATACAAATGGCAAATGGTGACCGATGTATGGGTAGACTTATCCTAGGAAGAGAGATGGGAGTGGGGACTTGTGGGAATGCGAGGGGGGAGGGCAGTGAACAAGCCAATGAACCAAGGGCAGAAATCTTGGGATAACTGAATGCCACGATGCTTTAAATGTCACTAACTTTTCGGGAGAGGATTACGTGTATATGCTACTGTGTATGAGCCAAAGATTTCTACATTTATGTTCAATCTCAGCTGACGGGAGGGTTCTTGGGTTTTTTCTTGATTCACTTGCAGTGTGTCTTTGAGGTTGACAAGGAGACGGGGTTGACGCTCACCGAGATCGCAGAAGGAGTGACCATAGAGGATGTGGTTGAGGCAACAGGCTGTGAGTTTGAAGTGTCGGCAGACCTAAAACCCATGGGTCAAGTCTGAAGCTGAGATCAGCACTTTGTGAAATGATCCATTGCCCCGCATATAATCATACTATTCACCAGTGGCCATACTGCAAATATTTATTCTACCCAACGGAATGGAAGAGGAAGAAGTTTGTATGCATGTGAGTAGTGTACAATGCGACTCCCATAACTACGCCCTTTGTCAGTGGACACACCCTTATCCAGTTCACCAAGCCACATGAAAGATTATGCATGTGACAGGTGTATAGATACAAAGTTCACATCAGCCGGTTTCTTTATAACAAGTGTGAAGCTGGCTCTGTCCATAAACTGAACTCCTGGTGTTGCATGGATTGAAGGAATTCTGTTAGCATGGTTCAAATCAGATATACTAAAAGTATATGTATTAAGACTAACAAGATACATCAAGGCAAAGAGATATGTCACCAGTGTCCTGCAACGTATAGAGGAGCATGGTGGCCCATCATGCTTTGTCTTCCGTAATGGTTGAACAGTAGCCGCCAAGTTATAACATTTTTGGTTGCCGCACCTACATTAACATGAACAGTTCATTTCATTAAACATTGTTGTTATGCAAAAAGTTGTCTAATAATATCTAAACTTGCTTTCAATTTGTGGGGGGGGGGGGAGTGTCAACCTGTCAGTGCGAAGGTAAGCTCTAAACTTAACTACAAAATGGGGGGGGGGGAAGTGCTGTAGGAGACCACTGCCCATAATGAATGAATTGGCCTTTCTTATGCTTGGTGGATTTTGATGACACTGGTGAAAGAACAAAGCTTGCAGGGTTTAACATTCGGGCAGATTTGGTACTGTGGAATGTTGAATCCCTGCAAGGGGTGTTCAGTTCTGGCAGATCTGGTCCCGTTCTCAGCTGAAATACCTGGGTTTTGGGGAGGGAGGTTGAACATATGTCACGAGTTTGTAACAAAACTTATCATTTTTAAGTAATTTGTGTTTTGGTTTTCTTATCCCTTCTAGACCATTTTTTATTTTTTTCTTTGTTTTTTGCGTGATTTGGTGACTGCATTCAACCACCATCATCTGTGCTGACACAGGTTCAATGTTTAAATTAAAATTGTACATAGAACAGTTGAGACTGTGTGACCTTCTACTCCAGAATTTTATAATCATGACTGAATGATTCTTGACGTTCAGAAGGAATTTATCACTGCACCCCTGATGCATCCCAGTCTAACATTACGGATACATCATTGTGAAGAGTGTAAGCTCTTGATGTCAGTGAGAGTATTCAACTTTTTTTTTTTTGTTAAAGAGGGGCATATTCAGTTTATTTGAAGTTAAGCCAACTGAACCCCGAGACTGATTGTTTGCAACATATTACTCCAAAGAGTAAATTTGTTGCATTCAGGATGTATACAACATGTCACACATGTGATTGTTGCATTTGTGAGACCTGTATCCGATGTGCTGTCTTTCAGCCAGAAAGTTGAAATATTCTTCTGAAGATTTTGAAGATACATATGAAACAAGTTGGATACAAGACACGTGTACCAACATTGAAGACTTGGTGTGAAAGCACCGTACTTAACGCACGGTGTAGAAGCTGTGAATATTTCAAATGGAGATTGTACAATGTAAACTGAGACAGTGTGACAGTGCAAGTATGTTATCTCAGTGATGTTGTGAATTGAACACAATTATGAAATTACCCTCTCTTGCAATATTGTTTCAGTCATGTTTCAGTATTCCATGTTTCCTCCAGACACCCAAAGTATGTGGGTTTTAACGTGCTCGTTCTTTTTACATTTCCTTGCCTTTTCTTCAGATTTGTTTCCTTCCTTCAGGAGCTGAAGATCTGTGAATGAGATTACTCTATCAAAATGAGAAATGAATTGGAAAGTTGATTTATAGTTGTCAGTTGGAGAACAACTGCATTTAATAGCTTGCACGTCCTAAGTAATACCAGGTCAAAAATAGCCACTCAAGCTGTGTTTTGAGAACAAGGTCCTACAAGCTGATCAAATCACAAAATTCACTAAACTGGAATAAACACACGAATAAAACTGGAGTCAATGTAAGAGCAGCTGTTTATTCTTCATTTTGATAGAGCAGCTCATATTCAGTTGTGTATTTGCATTTCAAGATATTTCACAATCTCTTTCCTTTTGTTTTCTTTCTTTTGTTCAAAACACTTGTCATTAGTACAGCATTTATACCTGTGCCATTTCCTTTATTCACTTTCAATCAATGAGAATAAACTTCAGTATGTATATAGGTGTATTTGTTGATGGAGCAATTGGTGTGTTAAAGTCGATGCTAGCATTACTGAATGCCTCCTTCAAAGTCCTGCATGAGCTTTGTGGTAAAGACTTCATTCAACCAGGGCTATTTATGCACATATCATGCCATTGATTATGTGGCAGAGGTGAGATATTTCATAACATTTCTGTTGGTTTTCAACTTGAATGGCCCAACCTCGACATTGAAAAATCATTGTAACTCGGATTTCTCACAGAAAACACCCAGCAGCAAATTTTTTTGACAAGAAAATAAATTCAGGAATTTTATTTGTTCTTCGAAAACCATGAACTTAAACCTAGACCAGAAAGTAAAGTCTATAAATGGTCGTTTTGGAGAAAAACCTGATAAATTATGATGCATATGTTCATTTGGCTAGCTCATTTTGAAGAAGGATACTGCAAACAATGTCTTGGAAACAAAAAGTGGAGAAAACTCTGCTCTGTTTTGAAGATAAAACAATGTAAATATGACGAGTTAAACAATTCCCTTTTATATCAAGATAGATTTGATTAGGCCTAGTGTCTCCAAAAACCGAGCCAAAGCGAACCAAGTGGATTTCTTTGGAACCCCCCAAAAAATCCACATGCTTCCAGACCCTCTTGAAGTTTAATTTTCTTTCAGTTTTCAGAGTACCTATACGTGTGGATAAAATACAAATTTATGAGCACTACGTACATTTTAAAAATGTTTTAATGAGCAGTGGATGAATAAATAAAATCTAGCAACTGTACACTTCAACTTGGATTACAAAACATAAAAGAATGAGGTTTTCATTTTAACTACGGGTACATACTGATTCTAGAATTACATTTATTGCCATTAAGAGAATATTTCATATTCATGCATGCAGACTGAATACTTAAAAAATTGAAGAAGATATTGTCATCAAATTATTGTCGGCCATCAGACTGCAGGTGGATGCTAGTACTCCAAAACCCATCTGCACCATACTGATGACCGATTATGAACAGTTTCCACCAGCAAAACAACTCCATGGTGAATGATTTTTGTGTGCTTTGCCTTTGGGTTACAGTTTATCCACTGGGAATAGGTTCCTAGGCATGTCCTGGCAACACGTGCATGTGATGGTGCACAGAGCTGCAGTCAAATTCGACTTCCAAAAAAAAGGTGAACAGTATTCAGTGCAAACAGGCTAACTTCCAAGTATGGGGTGCTGAATGTGGTACAACAGAAAATGTTGATTGATGAGAGTTTGCAGAAAGGACTGAAATTGACAGATGTCCATCTTTTATACCTTACTCAGATGTAAATTAAGACCTCAGACTTGACCTTTACCCTTTGACCAGCCAAACCGACTATGGCCCAGATACCGCTCCTTTGTCATTTTCAAAGTGTGCAAATAGATGGACCAACACATCTATCATTATGCAATGCTTGTCTTCCAGTCCAAAAAAAACGGTGGCCGGATGTGTCTTACTTCAGCCCAATTTTGACGGTCCCCCGGGGCGTGTATGAGGTCGCGCCGGTGCCCCGTAGGGGGGTGGTTCGCACCCCCTGTTTCTCCTCCAGTTCCTTGAGGGTGGTGAGTTGTTGGGAGCGAGACACGGTCACGTTGATCTTGCGCTGCATGACGTCCGATCGCAAGTTTCGCAACTCGGTCTCTGCTTGGTTGCGAAGCTGATGACCAAAAAGAAAAAAGCACTGTAATGTATCAAGGAATGGGCAGCATGCTGGCAGCGCCTTGCCAGGACAGTGCCCTCTTGGACTAGGATCTCCATGCCAGAATGTGAAAGAGTTTTTCATTGTCCAGAGAACTCTGTACACTCTTTCTTGCTTACATCACAGGTGTCATTTTGTCAACTGGTGCTTAGTAAAACTATGACCGGTCGTGAGTACAAATCCAAGGGGATTATTCACAAACTGTTAAACAAATTTGTCTAAATAACAAAACAAAACTACAAATAAACACATGTATTGAAACCTCTCATGTTAACATTGAGGAAATGGGCATCTTGAGGCAAACGCTGTTGTCAACCTAGGGTGAACTTTCTGCAAACTGTTGCTGGCCCATACAAAACCGGGTCAAAGTTTGTAAGCAAAAAAAGGTCTATCCGGCTTGTATTTGTCGTACACGTACATGCACCACTCGTTACAAGCTGCCAATGAATGAACGCTTAAGGGGTTCTGGTTCCACGTAAAACTATGTGCAGTGGGCGTGGTTTAACCCGAAGGGACATCACACTTATGAACTGGATAGTGCATAGCGTGTAACGATATAAAATGCACGTTAACGTACGAAGTTCTTACATAGGATTCGGCTGCATAGTGGCAGTGGCATTCAGGTGTTAACAGAGTTGGTCCATCAAGGGAGTACTTGCACATGGAAGGGTGGAAAGGTGGAATGGTGGGCCATATGACCCCTGTAACACCCCTGACATTTATGCCTCTGTGTCTACTAACAGATAATATGGTCTACATGTAGGTCCATTGAGTATAACACAAACCTTGATTTCTGAAGTGAGTTTCATCTTGGAGTTCTCCACTCTCCTCTTGAGGTCATCGATCTGGTGCTTCAGCTTGAAGATCAAGATCTTGTGATCATTCTGCCATCAAACGACGAGATGGCGATGTCAAAATTACTCTTGATTCAGTACATGGACTTCTACAATGCATGATACTAGCATTGGCAAAGACTTCTTGCAACTGCTTCTCCTATGGTGTTTGTTTGCTACATGAATTTGCTAACCAAATCTCCAAACTATCACAGTATGGCTGAGTAGTTTTTCCAGTACTTTTTTCCCAACCTTAACACTGACTTTTTTTACAGAAGTGTCAATTCTCAAGTCTTAAATTTATTTGGTAACCTGACCATGGTGCAACAAACTGCAATTGTCCAAGTTCCCCAGATTTGTTCACAAAATAACCAGCTCAATATTTTACAGCAAAATTGGTGCTTATAAAGTACTTGACTGGGTACCGTTCTATAATAAACAACTCTATTAAACTGGGCCCTTGTGTTTAGTGAACTACAAACAATGGCAAATACGAATCTGAACTTGTGATGGAAGAAATACAGGGGCTGAAGGTTTGACTCTAACTTCCTCCAACTACCAAAGGTTTTTGTACCTTCTTGGAGGGTGGCTCTCGAGGCATGCCCCTCCGGTTGGGACCCCTGCCTTCCAGCTGGTTGAGCAGTTTGCGATGCTGCTGGTCTAGCTGGATCCGCAGCCTGTTCACCTGCTCCTCCAAGGGGTTAGTCTTCTTCTTTTCCTCAAAGTATCGCTTCTTCCAGTAGTCCCTCGCTGCAGAAAGGAAAGAAAGAGAGGGGATACTCGGTGTAATGATAGCTGAGCTCTGAGAGGTTATGTTTTAAATATAAGTAGAAATCTGCTGACCAAAAATGTGCCGAGTGCAAAACTGACCGCATAAAGAACCAGACCGCACTTACCAGTCCTTCCCCAAAACTCTTCAACTTTCTGATACAATGTGGATATAATTATCTCTCAAACTGTAGGGAACTGATTTTGAGAAAACAATGTTCAACAAGTATCAAACTAATTCAGTGAAGCTATCTGGAAAAGGAAGTATATTGTACACAGTTTGACTTTTTTTTTTCAGCAACGAGATATTGACAGAGACAACTGTGCAGTTTTGGCAAGGTTCCTTACTAAAGAAATAATTGAGAAAGGGAACTGTGACTTTGTAACAAAGGAAATTGAATCGTCAGCGTGAGAGCTCAATCACAGGAATTATAAAGAAACTAATAAATTATACAAACGTACTGAAACTGAAATTCCAGGAAAACAGGTATAGACAAATCCAGAACTTGATATTTTAATTCTGCTGATATATTCAAAATTTCAGGATGATGAGGGAAGGCTGAGAGAGTACGGCCAGGATGTGGCAAAACTTCTTACAAGACTGTTCTGCAGTGCAAAAGGATAGCATACAACTGTGCACATGCCACTCTCATAACTATGAAAACAATTATTAACTCTGGTAAACCATGTAAGCAATGAACGTGCAGACAATAGATGACGCACAAAGAAAATTCTACCCAGCCCTACATGGATCATCATCATCATCAAATGAAAGTCTGGGTACTTTGGAAGCAGAAAAACACAGAGCAATATATGAGGATGTAAAACTACAATAGTTCATAAAGGCCTAAGAAGTACTTGTTTGGCACATAAATTCAAACTGGGTAATTGAGATGTTAGATTTTTGGGGGAAAAGCAGAAAAAAAACACTGTTGACGGAATGATCAGACTTCATTTTTGAAATAGAGTGCTGCGTTGGAACCAAATGTGTACAGCATGGCTAAAAGAGTAAGAAAGATGCCAAATCGATTCCTGATACAAGTGCGTACGTGCATATTTGTGAATTCTGAATGTCTGCATAGAATTTACAGCTAAAGAAGTTTTCGTTTGGTCTAGATTTATGAGCATGCAGATTTATGACTATGCAGATTTATGTTATATGCTGGTCTGATCGGGAAGTTTGCTTAGCAATTCCTAGCATGTTAAGTAATAGGTTTGTGGCAGCACCATGCTACATATTATTTTTTAGTACTGGTACGTGTGTGTGTTATGTGGTTCTGAAAAGACTTGGAGGGGACTCAACATTTCGGACAGTATGCTCTGTCCATTGTCAGGAGATCCTTCACATGGTGCTACTGCAAACCTGTTACTTAACTTGGCACCTCCACCTTGACAAAACTTCAATGCTTGGACATGCTCTCACGAACTACAAGTTAACAATCACAAACTGAGCTACCTGCGAGGGTCATTAGCCCTGAATCCAGATCCTCGTCTAGAGAGTTGCGCAGCGAGGGCAATCAATAAACCAGACAAGGCACCCGCATGTAAATCAATCGGGATTACCAAATCTCAATGGCTAATCAATTGTCATTTGGAAGTATTGATCACATACTGACCCATGGCCGGACAATGGTTGGGGAGTTGGGACATCAATGGGTTTAAATACACAGACATTCTGGAGAGTTGTTACATCTTTCAGGCAATTTGCCAGGCACGTGATTGAGAACCATTGACGAAGCAACTGTTTGTACAGTGGCTTGTCGGTGAATGTACAAAGTGACGTGCCCTTCCAAAGACAGGACACAACTTGAAAAATTGAACTGTGACAGGTGTTCATGGACAAATAACAAATGTATCCATTCACTTTACAGAAAAAAACTGCTGAAAAGAAAAACATTTTTTAACAAGCATGTTTATTATATTGTTATCTTTACAATAAACACAATCAGCTTTGAACTGAATTTGTCTACAAATTCCTGGAAAGATTCCAATTAGGGGAGGTCCAACGTTTTTTAATCCACAATTTAAGTTTAACTAAGGCGCATGACACTTTCCACGGGGTTAGAGATTCAGTGAATTGCCTGAATACAAGAGCTAACTGAGCGTCATTAATTCAGCAGCTCTGTTAATACTCTCAGGAGTAATCAATTATTCAAAGCCATGTGCGATTGGCTGATAGGGCCAGGCCGGGAAGGGAAAGGCTAATGCCATCATTAGTGTGTGACACCTTGATGATTTATTCATTCTGTTGAAATTTACACATTTGTACAATTTGGCCACTTGTAAAGTTCTCCGGTAGGTCTACAGTGGGCCATGTTTGTGTGTGGGTGGGTGGGACAGAAGGGTGTTGTAGAGTGGTTTGGCAAAATTTAGGGATCACTTCCTGACTCTGTAATCCTGGTTTGAATCCTGACTGTCCAACCAAGTATTAGGCATTCCTTAAGCCCGCTACTCTCCTTCTGGATTTTACCTTTTCACTCTCCTGGTGGTCTGCAAAGCGTTCAACCAAAGTACAGGATAATCAGTGGCCCACTGCTAACATAGAGACCACCTGGTGATCATAAGACCACAGCCCAATGCCTTGACCAAGGTTCATGAGCCAGTAGAATCAGGAAGGTGTGGGACAGGCTTTATACCTTCTGGACCCTTTGGGATTCTCTGACTTGCCAAGGGGCGTTGGGTGAACTACACGTACATGCATGGCGCAAATTGACTGGTTCTTCACCGTTTATACTGGGACAGTGTTGCTGCTGCTATGTACAGTAGCACGATCAAGCATCAATATGCTTGTGCTCAGTTTAACAGAGGACCGTTGGATGTAATGCTTCAGTTTAGTGTGACAATGCACCTGTTGGTGTCCCAGCCCATACCTTTGTTTCTGCGGTCATTGGTTCGTGACTGCAACATCTTGGCTTGCCTCATCAGCTCCTCCCGGGTTCTCTCTAAATCGAATCTCACTGTCTGCCTCTCGTGTAGCTCAGCAATTAACCTTTCACCTTGAAGGAAAACATTTATAACAATTTCAAAAAGCACATTGCACTCAAATGCAAGTGGCTTCCCAAGCCATGGAGATCCAATTCTGAGCGTGTCCTACACGCCCTACCTGCTCACTACGTACATGCATACCAACTACTTTGCTCACTGCTTAGCTGTGTTTTACTCAATTGACAACTACATGTACCTAATACCCAGTCCAACTCCTACAAAAACAGCAAAGAAATTGCCAAAGTGCAATCAATATTTAGATAAAAAGCTTCTCCAAATTTGCTATTACATGTACTACATATGGAATTTTGCCATTTTTACCAGGTGGACATTAAACATTCTCACATTCCATAAAGTTCATCTACTTCCAGTGATGTGTTAATAACTTCACAAATAGACATGCACTGAATGCTTACATGTATCAGTTGCTCACTCTGCTTACCCACACAATTACAAAAATCTGGATATTATTAAAACGTTTATCACAACTACAGTCAACCATTTACATATGTAACTATCAAAAACGTATATTCCATTCACTGTGCACTGAGAGAAAATGATACAAACATCGAGAACAATGTGCTAACTGAAGTTTAAAGACTGCCATGCACAGTGAAGAAGTGCTCACAGGTAAAGGAGACTCCAAAAACAAAAGTGCAAAGGAGTGTGTTTCAAAGTCTTCATGTACATGAATATTTCCTGCAGTAAATGCCACATCATCGCCTGTGTTGGTGGAAGTTACTTTGTCAAATTCATGAAAACCTGTGACATTTATTTTATAGTTTGGAAGACTCTGACAGCAACAAAACACAAGACAGACATATTTGAACAGATTCTAAGCATGTACTTGATAGAGAAAGGGTATACAATATTCTTGCATTGTTTTAAGCACGAGTGCAAAACCTGCAGAAACAAAAAATATGACTCAGAAAGATTAGCCTTTGCATTAATAACAGCGTGGTGTCAAACCAATGTAGTTATTATCTTCGTCATACATGCCTGATCTGATCAAAGGAACTGACATACAGGTGCCTGCACAGTACATGTATGACAATATCCATGTATGTTGAAGCTTTCATTAATCAATCCAAAATGTCAAGGTTGTTTGTTGGCATGGTGATCACTAACGATTCCAACCACTTTGTTTTGGCAAGGCCTTTTTTCCCTAAAACTTTCATTCAAGGAAATGTTGTCCTTACGTTCTGTTTCAAGTCTCTCCTTTGCTGACTCTGTTGTTTGGCGAGTTTTCTCTGATGCTTCTCCAGCACTCGTGCCATCCTATGAAGGAACATTAATATGTAGCAGTGGATTTCTGACATGCCCAATTTATAAAAGTGTCTTGAAATGTCTTTATTTAAGAGATTGGGAACTGGAACACTCTTAGGTCTTTCACAATTGGTATCTTCTGGCTGGTGTAAAAACCGTATAATGTAATGGCCCCATCTTTATGGGAAACAATCAAATTTTAAAACTAGAACTTGAGAAAAGAAGACAAATGACTACAACGCCATCAACGGGGAAATCACAAATTTTTATAGAGGCTTTGGCTCCGTAGGAGAGAATTTTTTATTGAACTCCAACATCTTCGATTTTATTTACTTATTTGTGGAAGAAAAGTTTCAATTCATGCAGTAATTATTCACAGGTTAGACCTCACCTGGAACTCCCTTGTACAAACAACTACTCACCCGATTGGAAGCTACACTGCTTCCTGCATCATCCAATAATAATGCACTATCTTGAGTTCTCTCGGATTGTCTAGTACTTCCTCCCCCTACTGTCTTCCTATCCGACAAGTCCCCAGTGTATTCCTTCCTGACAGAGTCCCTGGCATGAGGGTCATACAAGTCCTTCTGCTGGCTGCTGCCAGCCTGCTGGCTGAGCGGGGTAACCCCCTCCAGCTCCCTCCTGCGGGCCTGGTCCCAGGACATCTGGCGGCTCTGCCGGAGCTCATCCGCTTGCCGTCTCCGGATCTCCTCCTCCAGTTCTCGCTCCTCTGCCTCGTCCCGGAGTCGTTGCTGAAGTGCTGCAGCTGCTTCTTCCTTCTCCTTGGCAGTAGCTGCTGCTTGCTGCGCAGCAGCTGCCTCCTGGGCGGCCAGTGCCTGCCGCCGTTGCATCTCCAACTCCTGCTGCCGAGCCTTCAAGAGTCTCTGCCTCTCCTCTTCTTCCTGCTTCTCCTTCTCCCATCTCTCGGCCTCTCGCCGCCGTGCCGACTCCAGCTGCCTCTGCCTCTCCGCCTGCTCCTGAGCAGTGGCTTCTTGGATCTGGTGCTCTCTTTGCCGGGCTCTTTCCTCTTCCCTTAATCTCTCCGCCTCTTGCACTGCTGCAGCATTATCTGGTGCTGGATGCTGCCTGGCACTGTCCTGTAGGTGTGCTCTGTCTAAAGGTTCTGGCTCTGCTGAGTGCAACCTGCTATCCAAACCTTCAGGTCTTCCCTTGGGATTTACTTCAAACGTCCTTGGTGTTTGCTGCTTCTCAGCCATTTGCTTCCTTTAAATAATACAGCGCACGATACATTACGTCGTAACTGTTAAATTTGCAATATTATCTTGAAAACTGTGATCTTCTCCATTACCGAGGGGAGATGAGTATAGTTATTTTATTACTTGGAAACCCTGCATGTTATTGACAGTGATGACAAGGTTTGGAGCTTAGTCTGACCTGTAGTATTTTTCAATTGATGCGATTAAGTTTTACATTTTGATCAAGGAATAGCAATATGTGGTGAATGATATCTCTGTTAATTGATGACCGACCTTTCCAGAGAGTCGCTCCGCTGCCGTCCATAGTCCAGCTCATTTCTATCAGGGGTAAACTCGGCAATACCAGAATCCTCATTGGTGTTGTTGGTGTAGGTATCTGGCCGTCCTGATTTGAGGGGTGTCGATGGATCCATTCCCTTGACGGCATCGAGATGATGGAGGTTCAAAGGGGGGACACCACCTGGGGTAATATTGGGGATTTGGGAAGGGATGGGAGTTGTACCACACGTGGATGGTTGGTGCTCGTCGTGAAAAGCCCTATAAGTTTGAGGAATAGCCCAGTGGGCTGAGCTGGACGCTTCCGATGGTGGGTTAGTAGAGGTTCTAGCTGGTGGTGGGGAAACATCAACAAATGGACTGTTAGGGTTAGTGTGATGAACAGATGATGGGGCAGCATTCACCTGTTGGCTGGAGTGAGGATGGGAAACAGGTGGAGTCCTTAGGCCAGGGTTAGAGTGGTTAATAATAGGATCAGAAGGGAGGATGATGGTGGACACTCGACCACTGCTGTCGGCACTGTTGTTGGTGGTGGAGTTCAGGCTGGAATCGGCATTGGCGGTCTGGTCAAGGCAAGGGGGCAGTGGGGTGAGATGTGGAAGACTGTTGTTGGATGACAAAGGGGGGCTTCTCTGTGGTGAGCCGAGAATTTGCTTCTGAGGTGGGCTACTCGTTGACAGTATTTTTCTCTTTGGAGGTGATGCGGCACCTTGTGAAGGATTGCTGCTTCCAGAACTCAGTCTGGAATTTGCAATGATCAAGTCTGGCATGGGGGTTGTCTGTGAACTTCTGTGTGTTAGATGTGGTATTCTGGAAGATGATCTTGGTGTATTGTTGGTTAGCTGTACTACAACTGTGCTGTGTAAAGGATCTGATGCATCGTGGGTAATCTTTGTGTTAGCATTGTGCTGATGAGTGGCATGTGATGATTGGTTGTGATGGTGGCACATGAAACGGGGACTCTGATTGGGTGAGGGGGTACCCATGGAGATGTCTGGAAGGTGATTAGCGTGGGCCGTCTGGCTGGTGTCCCAAGCATGCTGGACACCAACGTCCCGCTGTCCAACATGCAATAGACCACTGTGAAGCTTAATTGCACCTAGAATGACGAGAAGTTAGGAGAACAGGGCATGCAGTGTGAGATCAGTAAGCCTACCACCAACTAGATGTACGACATATGAGCATGCTACAAGTGATAGCCATTTGATACAAAAAAATCAATCACCATAGAATTACAGGTGCATACACAGTAATGTTTATCCTCCCATCAAAATGTGAGACCTTGGACTTTTCCTCTGCCAAAACCGTCCAATTGCAAGTGCAGTTCAGATCTCTAAGCAACTTATGGGGCACTTTTTACGACTTGCTTATCATGTTTTGGGGAGGTACATTTACCTCAGCTCATCTGGATGAGAGGCTCTTTTGCACTCTACCAGATAAATTCTGCAGCTACTGAGTAAGCTATATACATGTATATACAGGTTTGGCTACGAGGGGGCAGGTTCTGCAGCATCTCATATGTTAATGGTTGGATAGACACAGAATAGGTTTTAAAATCCGTGCCATGTTTGAATGGATGAAAATGCATCAAAATGGGCATGATGGAAGGTCATAACTTCCAACAACTATGATACTGTAGATAATGCAACAATACAAAACCCAAAGCTAATAAATGCCAATCACAACCTCGACCAAACTCTACTAACTTCTTTGAAATGAGTTTTACCGGGGAACTCCAACTGTAACTTCAACCTCCAACACTGACATACATGTACACCGTAAACTGCTTACTGATAAGAATGAAGTGAGACATTTCAAGTCATAAATATCTTCAAATTTTTAATATTACAGCCCAAACTCCTCAATTTGCAATCTAAACATTCAGTTCTATATAAAGGTGAAGGGCAAGAGTCCTCTAAGAATAAAACGTCAGCCAGTGAACTTTCAAGAATCTTGACTAACCTGACCTATCCTTTGACTGCCCTGCTGTGTCTCCTGCTGTGCTCTCCTGTTCTGTCCTAACTATCCTGTTAATTCCCGCTCTACTCGCATGCTCCAAGCCAGCCCTAGTGCTCCAACTACCCTGGACCTGGGTAGGATGAGGCTTCCCTTCCTGGGTAGGCGCTACTTTGCCCTCTTTGTGTTTAGTGCCTCGGCTTGTCTCTCTTCGACCAGCAGCCTTAGTACCAGTGGTTGTGGATCCTACGCCATCCTGAGTGAACCTAGCCTGTCTCCCTCTGACTGGTACCCTTGTAGCACCAGCAGTTGGCCTTGGAGGTTTGTCACCAGCTAGTCTAGATTTCCTAGCTACCTGCGCACCACTGCTCCCTGCTGCAGCCTGTTGCCTACCTATCCTAGTGACAACCCCCACCCCCAGTCCTGCCTGCTTTCTCCCTGCTGGTTCCGCCTTGGTCGAAGAGAGTTTTTCTGCTCTGACACCTGTCTTTACAACTGCCTGTCTACCGGTCTGCCTGCTAGTCTGTCTGCTAGCCATCTTAAGGCCTGCAGGATGGACCCTACGTGGTATTTTAGACAACTTCTGCCTACTTTGTTTACTTGTTGAGTCAGCATGGCGTGTCCCAGTATTTTCAGCATCAGATTCTGGGGTCCTATTATTGCCTGTACCTTTGGATTCCTCCATAAGTGGGCTAATTGTTTCCTCTTCTGAAGTGCCAAAAAAAAAAGAATAAAATATAATTTTAACAGGGCCTTTGCATCACGTTATACACATGCAGAGTATCAGTGCAGCATCAGTTGAAAACAACTTTGTGAAATAGGTGTTTTTTAATCTAGAAAAGAAATTCAAGGTTAAAACCCTTCACTGAGATGCTTTACTGACCAGTAAAAACACTTTTCTATGAATTCTTATAAAACCAATGCCAGACTGTCAAGTCCACTAAGACACGACTTTCCTGATAAATTTCACTGAAATATATTTGGTAGTAGTGAAGGCAAAGACATCCAAAACCCTAAATATCATAAACCATAAAAAATTGTAAAATCCTAAAATTATAAACTAACGTACACACACATTAGACATAAAAAGCTTGTTTTGAATTGTTTCCACACAGGCTGAAGTCACTTTGCCAAATTAATTTGGACTTCAGTGTGGCAAAGTAAACATTTTTTCTAGCAGTCAATAGAACTCACAACAATTTACAACTATGTAAACAATTTCTTCAGAAAACTGCAGCTATGGCGAGTCAAACATCCCTATAATCAATTCAGGATGTTGGAGGATATGTGAGGCGTACAGGTGTCAACCACCAAAGTCCAATTCTGCAGAATATTTTTCCCTTTTTTAAGCACATTTCCATTTCAAAATAGATTGAAAACTTTAAGATTTGATTACAATTGTCCTGGGGCAATACATGTAAGTAACAACATACATGTAAATATATTGTTCTACAAAATATTGTTTTATCACATCACACTTAATGATGTATGTCCCATAAAGCAAGATTGATCATGGTGCACAGTCATCTATCCAAACTTATATTATCAATGGTGTGTTAAGGAGATTTTTAATCTCGGGGGTCATCAAGCCTGCAAGCTGCATCAAAATCAAAACTACATGTACCTGTCAGTTAGTCAGTAGATAGATGAGGACTTACCGAGTACTTCAATTCTTTCATGGTTGGTGAACGAGGCCAGGTTCAGGGGATCTCGCTTAGCCTCCATGACAAAGATCTCTGGTAAGGGGGTCTGGTAGCAAGACCAATGGAATAAGGTTTTAAATGTCAGGGAAGGACGAAAATGCAAAAATGCATTCATGAAAGCTTACGATACCTGAAAAAAGTATTTCGTTTCACTGCAAATATTGATTTCCTCGTTGATTTCCTAGTAAATGGCATACTTAAAAGCCACATCACACTTAAAAGTCATTTCCTCAAAACAAATACAGAAATATTTATTTTCTTGCATGGAAACAAATGCAAAACAATAAAAAAAACCATCTATTTCCTTACCTGTGGAGGTATGAAGTTTTTAACTTTCAATTCAAACTCTTGTCTGGATTTCACCTGGAAATTAACATATTGGGATAACAAAAGTACCCAACGAAATATGGTAATTGTTCTCCCTGGATGGATTTTGGGTATAAGTTTTCTCTCTTTTCTTTAAATTCATGAACTAAAACAAGGAAGAATTAAATTGAAACTGTTTTCAAAGAAGGACGAATCTTTTTTCAACTTCAACTCCTCACGACTGAGTTCAATTTAATCATTTCAAAAGCACTGGCCCTTTGTGTTGGTAACAAATAACCCTATCATAAGCAAGTGTACATGTACGTGTACGTAGAAAACTTCACCCTACCGGTATCTTGGCGTCCCAGGGTGGACAAAGAAACTTACTTCAGTGTCATCACATTTCAAGAAGCGGAGAAAAATTCACTTGGAATCTACAAGCTTACAAAATTTACGTAAAATAATGTTTTTTGAAAGTCAAGTACCCCTGCATGTACATGTACACTGTACATGTACATGTACAATGCAGCGGTAGATGTAAAGTACCGAATACACCATACATACATACACGTACATTCAAGTTTCTACACAAGGCACAGACCTCCATTCACAGAGACTTGTTACATGTACATGACACAAACACTTTGATCCTTTGAGCTATTGCTTAAATATTGCAAAAACTAATGGAACTTTCTTTTGAACTCTGACCTGCACATATTTCAACTAATGGCTGTCTGTTTGCTCTACAATTACTAAAACTCCTAAAGAAAAGAGAGCAAAGCCCACAGACATTGAGTCAATTTATTGATTGTAACAAACACGGCTAGCCTTAAGCAAGAAAAACACACTGACAAACCCTTGTGAGATCTTATTCATATTTGTACTTCTGCCAAACCTACGTTGCTGTGGGCCATTTTCTATCTTTCCTTTTTCTTTCCATTCCGTCTGCACCTACTAGCTCTTAGTAACGAGCCTGAGGCCATGCCCAACAAGCTTCTAAACCATTGATCAACCTTTAGAACATTTTACGGATTACATGCTGCCGGAACAACGGTGGCAGTTACTCACAGTCACAACAAAAGCGACTCAAAAGCATGAGCGGGGTCTAGCTGTGTGTAATCCTAAATGCCATCTATTATGGGGACGGTATGTCTCGGCCTCGTTTGTGTAGCCTAGCAGGGCATAGTGGGCGATCATCTTTTAACCATGATCAGGCACAGTTTTGATGGAAAAGATTTGGGCCTTTCCTAATCTGAGCTTGATGCAGGCTGACAGCAACAGGATTTGTGGGACTTACATACAGATTTTAGATTGACTTTGACTGGTGGATGAGATAAACGGATGACTTCTGTCTGAAAGGCGTCTCTTTAAGCTTCAGTCACCTGTTGTACACAGAACTTGCACCTTTCTCCACTCTGATTTTCTACTGTGAACTCTATTGACATGATTGAGGACTTTTGGAAAAAGCAACCACTGCAGCCAGCAAGCATTGAGGCGTTTTTGCAACTGTAAACATACTGGCTACATGAAGACTATGTATACATCAATATTTCAAGCCAAAATTGGATGTCTTTCTTTCAATTACTGAAATTTATAGTACCAGTATCAATGCGTTTCAAAAACTTGTTAAAAATGTGGGTAACCTCTGCAACCATTTTTTTCCATGTCCATATTGTGTAAAGATGACTCGTCCAGAGAGCCTACTTTAACAATTTTGAGGGTATTAAGTCCTGGCTGAAACCTTTAAAGACAATCAAATTACACAAAGCTTTGGAAGAAAATCATTGGAGCACTACAATCTTATAGCAAGTGGAATATCTTACAAGTCTGCTTTTAAAGTTCAAGATATTGAACTAAAAATATAAAATTGACATGCCAGTACTCCAGTAAAGGTTGAAAAAAAAAAAACTACGGATATGTGTACATAGAAATTCCTGACTGAGTTTTTAAAAATCTGTTAAAAATTACTCCTTCTTTACTGAACTATATATATTTCAACTTTCGGCTTCTTCCGTAATTCAAGAAACCATATCCCTTCCTAATTACAACCCCTCCAAACATTTGGAAATTTAAGCTCAAATCCAAGATTATCCCTTCCTAATTACAACCCCTCCAAACATTTGGAAATTTAAGGTCAAATCCTGCAAATTAATAATGAGCCAGGCGTGTTGGCAATTTGGGGTTACGTTGTGTGTAGCCGATCGTGTTCCATCTAGTTCAGAAGTTGCATAGCAACAATAAACAATGGACCAGCCAACCGTGAAACCAAGCATTGTTGATGATGTTTGCACTGCCCACATAAGGGCATATGACCATTACAAACAGAAAGCGATCCCTGCGAACAGAACAAGGAGTGAACACGTGCGAGCAACGAAGAACCATCTTTGCCGCAGATGAACAATGTAGGATGTACTCTGTTGTCAAGGCTGATCAGGCACATACTGTACACGTATTTCCCCAGTAAACAAATTTGTTTTGTTTCACACAACAGAACAGGTGTACGCAAATAGAATTTTATGGTTTTTTATTCATTCCCCCCCCCCCAAAAAAAATAACACACTTCCCACATGTCCATATTTATACACATGTACATGTAATTGACTCACTCATGAATTTTGAGTGTACACATGTACTGTCCACGCTGGAACAGGTTTTGGACTGCAATCAGACATGTCTCCTGACATTTTAAAATAACTCTAGCCCAATGAAATTCACTAGGAAGTGTCCCATCACTTCAACTTTCAATACCGTACATTCTACCGTATTACTATATTTTTGTCGCCCTGTGTAAGATTTAAAACTTTGAATAATAATCTGTTATTCTACACCAATATGAAAGAAAGAGAGTTGCTGTATAAATTATATGTAGAATAAGTGAGGAGCACATTAATCCTTCCCTCTTATCAGAGTCCATTGATTAATGTGCACTGCCTTTCTTTTCACAAAATCCCACCTGCCCCACCAGAAGCTTTAACGGACAGCTCTGGATTTTCTTTTTATAAGGTGGGGGGATCAACAACTTACCTATTATGGAAGACTAACACAATATTTGCTAAGACAACACAAATAGACACTCATTAATCAAACACCTGTGCCCAGCAACCATGCAGTCTGCAGCTGAGAAGGCCTCTGCTGATAACTCTTCTAATGGCTACAGTACACAAAGTACATTGTACAGGGGGGGTGTTCAAGTAGGGTACATGTACTTGTACATGAACAAGTGGGTAAAGTACTAATCTCATGGCAATAAGCTTACAAACTAACAAACCTTCACTACAGAAAATCTAATACATGCACATGCACATGTAAATAATACATGTACATGTACAACAGAGGAGGGCCACCAGTCAACCTTGAGTTTCTGCAGATAATCTGGTAAAAAAGTCTTTCCCTTATCATTGCTTCACATTCAGTTTAATGATTTGAGAAAAATCTGCAGTCTTTCGCAGCAAAATGTAACACTACCACCACACGGTGATTATAAAACTCTTCCTATTTTGCTTTCATTGTGTTTATCTGGCAATTATTCACTGACAGGTACGTGTATATATAGCCAAACACTTCAACAGTCATTTACACGATAAGCAGGTTGATAGAGGGTCAACAATCCTTGCTCGACAACTTTTGTCAGAATTTCCTGATGACAACAGCAAAAATGACTGAATCAGATGTGAAAGCCAGCTTGGTGGGGCTACATGTAGGACTATTGTTCTTGAAAATTTAATACCACTTTACTCCAACTGTCTGATTTCACTATCACAGTAAATACATACTATTGTATGTATACACGTGTGTATGTTCTCGCTATTTGACTTAACTCTTTACTAAAATGTCCACCAAGGTTTGTACATGTATACAATGAAAACCACTCAAGAATCATTCTCAATTACTCATGATCACTGTTCTGTCCAGCAACCCTTTGTTCCAAGTCCTCAGCTGTAATGGATAACCCACTCACCTGTGTCAGGCATCGACCTACACTCCTGAGGAACACATACTCAGTGGGTAGCACATCGTAGCCAAGCTGCTCCAGGATCTGGTTCCTGAGGTAGTACAGACTCAGCTCTGGCCAGACTCTGAAAGTAGTAAGAGTTTGAGATTTTTTAAATGAGAGGTTTACGCGGGCAGTTATCCTTCTGAATTGCTCATCACTGATATTTAAAGCTGCCCTGGCACGACATATATATTTGATTGCTTGTGTCAAAATATTTTTTCCCCATAATCACGAATTTATAATTTGACTAAAGGTTTTCCAGACCTTAAAGATTGTAATCTGATTTGAAAATATACAAATTATGCACAACACCCGTGTGCACACTTCAATCATGTGAATCACATTTTTTATTAGTCTTTAGGGCAGTCTTAACAAATACCTGACGAAGCCGGCTGAGATGGTCTGATCGATGACATCATTGTAAGCACTGCGGTATTTCTCATTCCAGGCTTCCTTGGGCACCAGGTAGACATGAAGGTCCACCAACTGAGTGAAAAAAAATTAAACACTGCGCGTAATATCAGTAAATACATGCAGTAAGTATTGTTCTGGAGAAAATAAATTACGATTTTACCAGTCAATGTTTACCGGTAGAAATTGACACCAGTATAATTCTAATTTTCAGGATTTGCATCACACATCCCGTTTCAGTCAAGGGCTGAAAAAGACTCAGAAGTGACGAAACTCACCCTGTTGTAGCCTTTTGTGCATTTCCTAATATGGTACTACACATTCATCAACACATAATTTACAATGTACATGTACAATGGGTCAAAGTTGATGGTAAAAATACATTGCATGTACATGTAAATGTACGTTGGGCCTTGATGTAACACTACTGTGCACTTGTAAGCACTTGATCAATTAACCCCTCTTTCATGAGAGGTCAAATGTTATCTCTGACACATCATGCAGAACCTATCAACAGCCAGGACCCCCTTGATAAGTGCAACTCAACAGATCTTGTCATTAACTGTAAACAAGACGGTGCCAAAAAAAAAGTTTTTACAATCCATGATCATTGTAATCCATCCTCTGGGTCATATTCAAACGAGTGTTCCCACAAAGCAACTACACTTTTGTATTGCCACTGGCCCTTGATGGAAAGTTGTGACATGGAAATGTTGGTAATAAATCATGCATGTGGGAAAAAATGGTTATTCTGCTTCACTAGTATAATTTTGTCTGAAACTTTGAACTTATTCACAAGTGTGTACATGTACATGTATCTTACAAATAACTTATCTCTACACAGTAAAGGTACATTACATGTACTACAAAAACTAACAAAAATCTTACCAACATAATGTACTGATTTACAAATTTACACACATTACAAAGCATGCATCCTAAGCTAAGAAAACAGAAGTTTCAGTATGCGCAATTTTAAAATCATTTTTCGATTTGGAGGAAGGCCAAATTTTTAGCAGACACTCTTATCCAGCCAGTTTCAGTTAAATCTTGTGCATTACACACCATACCTGTTAATGGTGAAACAGATATTTGTTTCATTATATTAAAAATGGAAAGGAGAATTTTCACAATGAAAATTCCCTTTTTTCATTTTCTTTTCACCATTTCATAATGGAAAAGTGCTGCATGAGGTTCATGCATACAAGTTCATTGTACGTGTATGTACATGTACATGTATGTGTTACATACCAGTATGCACCGACTCTGGACTGGATATGAGATTTTTCAACATGTAGGTTGATACACACCGGTGGACTGCTTTTTCTACATAGTTTAACATGACTTCAACTCATATTTAGTTTCATCCATTTTTTAGGGTTCACTACAACACCTACACCTGCAATCAACAGTCCAAAACATCTGTCAGAAGAAAATTCAAAATATCAGATTATAAAAAACTTACAGCTATGCTGAATTTGTCAGCCATCTAGTTTCTTCCAGCACAGAAACAACCTCTACAAATTTAATCAACTGGTCACACAATTCGCAGATCCTCCCATTGTCACAAGCAGTCCAGAAAGTCTTCAGGTGCAAACAGACAACAGTCTGTTGTTATGGCATCAGAATGAGATGATACCGCCTTGGCAACAAATTTCTAACTGTACCTATTCACATCCAAATCTGAAAACTCGTTATGGTCCGTCCATTTTTTAATGTTTCATGGCAACCTGTTGGTTTCTTAGCAACCAAACCCCACTGAATAAGTGCCGTTTGCTCCCTGTGACTGCACCATGTCCTTGAATCATAAAACCTGACAGTAATTTATCTTCATGGAATGGTACCAGTAGATTTATAGTCAGACAAAGCCCCACCTCTCAGCTCCGAATAAAAAAAATGCAAAGCTCTCTCGAACTACTTTTGAAATTTATTGATGCAGCTAAACAGACCTGGACCCAATTTCATGGAGCACCTCAACAGTAAGCAGCAAAACCGTGCTTACTTTAGTCGAGAAATTCGCTTACCTTATGCAATATTTCATAGCAGTGCTTGGCTAATGTCATGGTTGTGCACGCATAGAGAGTTCCATTAAGTTTAAGCAAATTTTAATCCAAGGTTAGCATGCCTTTGGCTAAGCTTACTGCTTACAATCCCCACGAAATATGTGTAGCCTCTGTTAGCGTGAAATCGTATGTAGAGCAGCGCTGTGGGATAGGGCCCTAGTACACAGGTCTGCGAAAAAATGGAATATGACATCCAAACTATGCATTGCACATATACCAAGCAATCAAAGAATAGCAAGGAGTAAACATATAAATGAATGATGCCATGACATGATCTAAATTGTTTTGGTAAATCATGTAGAAATTTGAGGGGTTTGACAAACAGTCCTTCACGCTGTCAGTATTTAGATCAATTTAATTGCAAACAAGCCCATGAGTCATTCACATAAATTGCACAAGCAGCAATTCAACCACACATGTGCAGTGTGCGTGCATGTGCCTTACTTTCAGAGCAGAAAAAACAGTTGTCAGACCTTTCTCCTCTAACAAAAGACAATCCTGCAAACTATGAATTTAAGAAATGGAAAACTGCTATTACATTTCAATCAGCTACTTAAGTTAAAAGAACAGGAAAAGAAAATGAAGAAAACAAGGGTACCAGAACAAATGTACAAACCCTGCTTGCCAGTACCATTCCCTGGTATCAGAGCTACCCATACCAACCAAGCCATGACTGCTGGTTAACCAAATGGCAACAAAATTTATTATGCAGCTCCTGCATGAACCTTTAATCTTTATTGCTGATATGTGCACTCAATGTCCTAGGATGTGTCAGCACGACAGCAGACACACTCCAGGACAAGTTCACCATGTTCATCTTGTAACCATTTAACCTTAAAATAAGGAGAAATGAACGACCCCTTAAGAGTCCTGACTACTACAGGGCTTCTCGGTCTGCCCATAGAGCTACAAACTCTACAAGCTCTATGGTCTGCCTACCTCTCTAGCCAGAGAGAGCCATCCCGTGGTTCAAGTTCCTACATTCATGGAACGGACATGATGAAGTCCCATAGGCCTATAATACATTATGTGAAGCTGGCTAGGCTAAACGAATGATTGGTGACACATAGATGTTTTTGGACACACCTAGACAGCTGGTGGTCAGTTGGCGTGACTGGTAAATTTGGTCAACTGTCGTGTTGGTAAGTGTGGCCCGAGTAACTAGTGTGTCACATGTGTGTAGGTCTGCTGACGGTACATCATACTTACGCCCGCTCGACGGTCACGACAGTGAACTCAACTTCCAAGTTTCAACCAAACTTCAGTCTTTTGAACTTACCTGCTCTGAAGGCGGCCTCCCCACAGTAACTGGTGCAGACGTCATGATTTAGTATAGTCACTTGCCGTCCAACTTAACCGAGTTTTCATGTTGGCGAAGAATTTCAACAAAACAATCTCATAAACCCTCGAGCCCCTCCTCACTCACTTTCGAACGTGCACTTTTATTTGGGCCTACACTTTGTGTACGTGTATTGTCAAACGCATGTACAGTTTCTAAGGGTCCCACTCCATTCAGTAAAAGGTGGTCACGTGATTAAATCTTTCGTCACTTTCACAACCAGTTACGAGTAGTTGGTGTCGAGATTTCTACTTTCATGAACAAACGCAATTACTGCAGATTATTGTTACAATTAAAATTACTGAAAATTTCAGAACGAAACATCATTGTAGGTCCTATGGTCCGAAGTAACAAGGACGATGGACAGGCCGTTGAATAAAATGGCTATTGAATAATAAACGACTCCAAAACTTTTGCATGGATACAATTATAAGTTGAAACACTCACTTCACCAAAACGCACGGGGGCGCTAGTCAGTGTATGGCGGGTTGAGGATTTCCCTGCACCACCAAAAAACTGTGGACTGAAAAGCCCCCAGTGCCCAAACTGCCTGGAGCTCAAGGTGGTGGTGTCTTAAGTTCAAGACCTGACGATTGGGACCTTTAAAGGAGAATTTTCTTTTCAATATTACCAGAAACAGCAACATCATTTTCATACTCTTCCAATGGCATGTTGTGGCACCTGTTCCTGTGCAGAAAACTCTGAACTCGTACCCATGGTAACATGCTTTTATACTCAACTTCAGTACTGATAACTGACAACCACTTCGTGCACATTTTCCATATCATAAGTTTACTTATTTTCTGAATGCAGTAACAATTATGTTATGTCATGGCATCGGCCGTGCAATGATTGTCAAAAAGGGGGCCTCGAGTTGTTAGACCATCAGCGGTTAACAGACAGACCGATCCATGAAGCCCCCCACCCCGTCATAGGACCTGACAAAAGTGGAGGGTAGACGAAAAAGGAGGCCACACTGAACGATTTGCGTCATAATATGTATATTACGCTCAGAAACTGTACAGTATGTACTTTATGCGTCCTGAGCATTATGATGCACGTTGCTCACCGTGGCCTCCTTTTCCGTCTACCAAAATGCATATGGAGGGGGAGGATTTACCCGTCGAAAAAAGGGGTGGGGGTACTGGCTGCCCTACCCCCTCTCCTTCGGTCGCCCAGATCTTTTATATTTGATTATCTTCAAACATCCCTCAACTTCCCAGTTGATGCCAGAACGGAAAAGGCGGTGGAAGCTTACAGGAATTGCCGTTAAACAGTAATATTCATGTCATCACCCAGTTAAATCTAGAACACCACGCGGCTCTATCATGGACAATGTTCAATGAAAAGCACCTCCCGTTCAGGTCAAATCAAAGTTAAATCGAAAGATGACCATCAGTTTCCGACTTATCAAATTTCCCGCCGCCGTCGCCAGTAAGTTAATTTCTGTCGATTCTTTTTCCATCCCAGAAACAAATTCTTGTCACCGTACTGCGGTAGGCAATTTTTGTATTTCATGTGTTACAGTGCATTTTGCCAGAAAGGCAGGTTATAACCTTTTGTGCTACAAGCAGGGTGAATCCGCTCCGAGCGCAACAATAGAGGGCGTGTTTTCTTTGCACTCCCAATAGACTTAAATGAATGTTGGTCAAGGCGTTCCCAAATCATGCCGTCCCCGGATCAAGTCATCCCCGGGTCAACTCGTTCCCGAGTCAACTAGTCCCCTAGTCAAGTCGTCCCCCGTATAAATAATTAAATTGTAATAATTTACTGAGGCAATTTATTTTGGGAAATAAATTATTTTCCTTATTACTCATCAAGTTTTTACTGTAGTAATTTATTTGGGGGGGGGGATGTATTTATTATCTTTTTTGTTCATCAAGGTTTTACTGCGGCAACTTATGGGGCTAATTTATTTTATTTTTTACTTATCAAGTTTTTGCTGGGGTAATTCATTTTCTCTTTTTCTTTTATTGGGATTTTTTTCTATTTATTTTATTTGAGTTATTTCATTTAATAATCATTTATCAGACAAGACTGCATTATCTCTTTTGAAAGTGTGTCGGCTCTGAAAAGAACCGGTTGGTTTGATGATTCAGGCCTGGTTTGCGTACAGTGATGGTCCAGTGAAATGCTTGCATTTGGCAAGGAGATCGGAAGTCCTCAGCTCGCCCGCTGGATAGCGCTCCCAGAGCAGAAACAGCCGCCCCTGCATTCTTGGAACGTTCTTCCCCTGATAAGTAGGGGATGACTTGGATCGGGACGACTTGACCAGTACCCCGTCCATGCTGAGCATCATCAAGCAAACTAAGGGAAGGAGTAATGAGCATCATTAGACACTTTGAAGGTTCTTTCCAAAGATTTTATGGCGTACAGCTGCGTTTTAGTCCCTTTTTCTATAGTGCAAGGCTTGTTTTCAGAGCGTTTTAGAATTAGCGATTCTATCGATATTTATATTGATTTCTACACACTCGTCTTTTTCTATTTTACTCACCCCCGGCCCTCCTCCGGAAAAGAGGCCACAAGTTCCCTTTACCCCTTCCTCCATCCAGTAGCATATCAAACTAGCGGGGTTTCCCTGCCCTATGATGCCATTTTCAAAAAAGAAAAGAAACCGAAAACATAAGCATTTCAGAAAAAAACATTGCCACGTTTCCTTTTGAGTGGATGGTAAAGATAATTCGTTCAAGTTGGACATTTATTTTCTTTTTAAATCCAGTCTTTGCTTCCCCAGTCCAAGACCTGTATACACCCCTGCCCCCGGTTCCTCAGCACCCATGTCAGCATGGTCACTCCTGCTGCATGACACTGACTAGATCCCGTTACTTTTTACCAGTTCACTCAATGTACACATGCATAACCGACTGCGAGGTTAGGCGAGCTGCTGTGCTGTATGATGTCTGCAAAACGGCTCCAATTTCCGCTCAGAGGGGAAACAATATGTGGCAGCTTGGGTCGTTCGAGTTCAAAAACTTATTCTTTCCCCTTGTCACGGGCCATCAGTTATTGGAAAGATTAAGCGCATGGTCCTCTGATGCTGCTTAGGAACGCGGGTACCAACAGGGTGCTTACTTAACCCATATGGGGCCCAGCTAAACAAGCGTCGCTATAGTAACTGCTACATTGTTCGTGCAAGTTTGTATGTACTTTTCACGGGCAGCTTTACATGCATGTGTGCACGCAATGAAAGAATAGAGGGTTCCAAACGGATATTTTTTAAAAGAAAGAATCGTATTACATGTACAGACGGGAAAAATATTTATTTTCTACACTTGGACTTGCTTGAGTGGGAGTGCCCACGTACAGAGTACTCTTCCGAGTTAGCTGGTGAAATAATCCGTTGTGCGATGCCTTTCATGCTCTTATCAAAAGGAACCATTCAGACAGTTTAGTGGGCCATCAATCAATTTATCATTCTACTTTATTTTCAAGTTCATATTCAACGTGGACTTTTGATCGACTGAAATTAATAGGCTGTTGGTCTTGGTTACGCGGTCACCTGTACAATGCGCGCCTTGCGATAGCGACTGCAACAACAAGCTAGCTGTTCAGATCAGTGGAAGCCATCTTCCGTCGTGGGGTGAGGTATATTTCTCTTGTATCTGCCCGGTTTGGATTGATTCGACGACGCAGTTCACTCACAGGAAAACTTGGAGTAAAGGTAAAAAACTATAATAATGTGTGCATTGAAGGAAGGGTGTGCTTGATCGTTGTTTTCTATGGCGGCATAAAATAGTGGAAACGAAATGAAATTTTGAAAATGTACAAAAATTTTCGGATAAGTAATATCATTAAATGCAAACACAACCTTCAGTTATTTTTTCGGAAAGAACACACTTTCCCTAGTTTCCGTCATTGCTTCAAAAACTGCAGTTATTACAAAGTGGAAGCACCCAGCAGAATACATAATGACGTCTTTCCAAAATTTCTTTAACCACAAAGGGAAATAAAACACATTTCCACAGCTACAGTGATATTTCAGGAGTAAATTATTTCAATCTAGGCCCTGTAGTTCTTGAAATTGAACGTACAACTGTCCAAAGCTTGTATTTTTTTGTTTCTGCATTGCCTTGAAAAGCTCATGTTTGTCCTTCATTATCAAACTAAGGAATTTTGCTCTAAGAATTTGGATTTTAGCAAGGGGAAGGGTTAAGAGGCCCGAAGGACTTTGGTTGCCTGCACCGGGGCTGCAAACGTGGTCG